TTTTCTTATACTGGTAATACTGGCGCCGCCAAAGAGCTCACCCAAATTGTGATAACTTAAAATCTAAAGAAATTATTTCAAAACTGTAATTAGATTTAAATTCTGTGGAAAATTAGCTGTCTTTTGGCTGTTTATGAAATAATAATAATCAGAAAGAATTCAATTAAAGAGAATTGAAAAAGGGCAGAACTTACGCAGCTTGTATTAGGGTGATGGGAATGAAACTAGCGCACACATATCTTTCCAAAAATCAAAAGATTGAAAGCTTTAGCTGTCTAGTGTTGTATACTATCAGAAAGCCCTGAATCTCCTTTATAAAATTATTTAAAAAGATTTTGAATTAGATTGATTATTGGGGACTTGAGTGACTTAAGTTGAAAGGTCAAAAAAATGACGATTTTCTAGAAAAAGTGTTTCTGGTAATAGCTATGCCGTTAGAGAATACCATCAATTAAAGTTATTTTAAAATAAAATCAAAGAAAAGAAGTTCTTTTGTATATCTTCTAGAGTTAAATCTTTGTTTTTTTTTTTTGGAAAAGCCCTATTTTAAATCAAAAATCGCTACTTTAAACTTTGAATTTTGATCTTCAGAAGTGATCTCTAGAACTTCAGAACTATTGGGTTGGGGAGAATGAGTCGGCGCCGAACTTTAAAGGGACTTTTTGCACACATAAAGCCTTCTTTAAACATACGTTTGGTTTCATCAAAAGGATCCACTATTTCTCTACAAAATCACTTTTGAGAGATTCCACAAAGCTTTTCTTTCGTGGAGTTTATGAACTTCCAAACGCAGCTGGTTAAAATGGCAAAGAGTCCGACTCATCATTTGAACAGTTTCTTTCACATAAACCTTCTTTGGTGTTTATATAAAAAAGATAGAGCACATTCAATTACTTATGTTGCCAAATTTGCAGGAAGATTCCACCAATGGTTTTTTCTAGATCACAGTTTGTAGTTTTTGTGAAAAAATGGCTTTTTCTTGAGCGGAGGCGCTGTTTGAATTTTCTTTTAAATGTGATTTTGTAGAGAATTAGTTAACCATTCTACTCATATCAAACGCATATTATTTGACGAAGTCGAATAGAAGTTTTAGACATTTTTTTTGATTTTCGGCGCCGACTCATTCTCCCCAACCCAATAAATCAATTAAATCAATCAATTAAATCAGTTAAATCAATCAATTAAATCAATTAATCAATGAAATCAATCAATTAAATCAATTAATCAATTAAACTTCATGTACAGGATGCAGAAATTCGCAAATTCGCAAAAAAGAAAAATTTAGGAGCAGAAATTCGATGATCTTTTGTTAATTTTCAAGAAATTTTTATAGATACCTTAAAAATCATTTAACAAATATTGAACCTTATAAAAATATAGCATTAGTCTTTAACGTGGCCTCCTTTAACTTCAGTCCATTTTCGTAATCAGTTCGGAAAGTCATCCATGGCCTTTTTGATGACCCAATGTCGTCCCAAGCTATCTCCAAGACATCATTATCGGCTTCAGCGTCCATCTCGTCAACATTTGTTGGTTCGCATGGAGGCTTATTATACCCTTCCCTAGGATTCTTCTTTGAATTCCGATTAAGTGTTGTGGAACTTAATAAAATACGTTAAAACAATTCCAAAAGACTTTTTGGTAAAAAATAAAAAAATCTTTGTTGACCAGGAATTATAAAAATTATTTACTTTAGCAACTACGCGACTGTACGTCATTTTGGGGGCGACTATTACAGGTATTACGGTAGTTAGTTCTGAGATTATATTTTAAATCCGAGAAATAAACGGTTGGGGGTCAAATAAAGCCAAATCTGAAACTATAACTTCATTCGGCTTCCGGTATACAGCGGGAGAGTTAACGAGTAAAGTTTGTATGTGATTACATTTGGTTTTGAACATCCGAATGCCTTTGGTGGGGGTTGTGGGGTGAGACTTTCAAAAGACTACGAGACTTTCAAAAGACTACGAAGCTTTAAACAGACTACGAAGCTTTTCAAAGACCACAAAACTTTCAGAAGACCACGATTCAGAGAAAGAGCCTTAATTTTATTAAGATAACAGCAAAGATAAACAGTACAGGGTGCGGCAAAAGTTCTGACACTTTTTGTAAACGGGCAGTTTGACTTGGAAAAAACGCGATTTTTGAAAAACTAACACTGGATTATAAAAATTCAGATATTTTTACCCCCTAATATACTTTTTTACACAAAAATTTGATTTGGTTCCAATACGGTTCCAATACGTTTCCGATTCTGTTGGTTCCAATACGGTTCCAATACGGTTCCAATACGGCTCCAATACGGCTCCAATACGGTTCCAATACGGTTCCAATACGTTTCCGATTATGTTGGTTCCAATACGGTTCCAATACGGTTCCAATACGGTTCCAATACGGCTCCAATACGGCTCCAATACGGCTCCAATACGGTTCCAATACGGCTCCAATACGGTTCCAATACGGCTCCAATACGGTTCCAATACGGCTCCAATACGGTTCCAATACGGCTCCAATATCCAATCTAAACAACCTTTTGATGAGGATGTTTAAAGGTCGTTACAGCAGTTTTTTTGCTGTTGAGATTTGGGTGCCCTTCGTAGAATCGCTTGAAAATCTTTCGTTTTTGAGATATAAAGTTTTTTTGTGGCTTGTTTTCAAGAAAAAACTCAGTTCTATCAAATGGTAACAGCAGTTTTTGAGAAAAAATTTCATTCTGCAAAGTTTAAGTCAACTTTCGCAAAAATCTTCAGCGACCAGACCGGGATAGAAAAAATTCTCGTCAAAAAGTTATTGAGAGTTGAAATCTTTTTATGAAAATGGCTATATTGGGGTGAAACTACCTAAATTTTTAGAATCCGGCGTTAGTTTTTTGAAATTCACGGGGTTTTGAAGCCAAAAAAATTACTGCTTACAGAAAAAGTGTCAGAACTTTTGGCCGCACCCTGTAGATAACAACAAACATAAAAAGTAACAATTATAGATCAAAAACTGGAACATCCGAATCATCAAAAACAATGTTTCCAACAAAATCACTGTGCAAACTTTTTCCGAGAACTTTCTTTTCAACTTCATAGATAATACCTTTAGATAATTACCTTTTACGAGGCTTTTCCCGAGAAAATATATGTACTTTCATTTTACAATGTCAATAACTACATTTTAGCAACATTTTATTTGAAAAAGCAAAAAAATTCGATTGAAAATTTGGTTTTAAAAATTCAGTTGTAGATTCGATTGAAAATTCGATTAAAAATTCGTTAAGTTTCGTTAAAAACTCGTTAAAGTTAACAAATTTATACAGAAGAATTTCCAATTGAAAATTTTGAGAAAAAAATCACAGAAAATAATAAAAATTCAGCTTTTTGCTGGGAATTTCTGAAGAAAATATCTGGAGAGACTCTTTTTAATTAAAAAAAGTAAAGCTGATTACAATATTTCTTACTTTATTCAATGAAATCAAAGAGATTTTAGTGAAAAAGAGCTAAAAGTAGACAAGTATTGGATTGGTGAATTGAAAGTTTAGCAAATCATCAAAGCAAAAAGCCTCTTCTATTGAGTTGGTGAATTGAAAACTGCGGGCTATTATCATAAGTGACAGTTTGAGCACTTTCTTTAAAAGAAACCCATTTTGGTGTCAATGGAAAAGTTGTAGAGAATCAAAAATCAAGCTTATATCCAAATTTTCAGAACGATTCAAAAACTTGTTTTCAAGAAATGCCAAATTTACGAATTTTCACAAAACTTGCAACAAACTTGCAACAAAACTTGCATTTTAAGCGAAACTACTAAGTGTATCTTTTTGAAAATTTGGCTATAAGCCTAATTTTTGATTCTCTACAACTTTTCTATTGACACCAAAATGGGTTTCTTTTGAAGAAACTGCTCAAAATGGGACATTCCCGTCCTCCATTTTTGAGTCTCACACTTGTCTCCTTCTTAGTAGGATTTTGGCAGCGCGCATCGAAACTTGGGGCTTGGGTGCCCCAAGTTGACATGCGTCGTGGGTCATTGAGGTCATGGGTGCCCCATGACCTCAATGACCCCCAGAACTGGCAGCGCGCCTCCATCAGTGCCGCTCATCTCTCAGTGGCAGCGCGCCTCAATCAGTGCCGCTCATCTCTCAGTGGCAGCGCGCCTCAATCAGTGCCGCTCATCTTTCAGTGGCAGCGGGCCTCAATCAGTGCCGCTCATCTCTCAGTGGCAGCGCGCTCCATCAGTGCGCCTCCGTGGCAGCGCGCCTCAATCAGTGCCGCTCATCTCTCACGATACGAAAGGAAATCCTTCCTTCCTCGATGTGTGACAGGCGATGAGAAATGGGTTTTATCTGTGAACTTTCGGAGGAAGCGGTAATGGGTGGGGCCAGGCGAGAAACCCGAAAGTAACCCCAAGCCCGATTTGCACCAGAAGAAGTTTATGCTCTGCGTTTTCTGGGATATGGAGGGTGTGGTGTACTGGGAGTTGCTGGATAGCAAGACGACCGTTAATGCAATCAAATGCAGTAGACAGTTGGGAAAGGTAAATGAATCCCTGAAGAAGAATAGGCCCTTCAAGTCAAAGATCGTTCTCATCCACGACAACGCGCGCCCTCATATTGCAAAACTGACTCGCTCTAAAATAAACAGCCTTGGTTGGGAACTTTTGGCGGATTCCCCATACAGCCTCGCCCCTTTTGATTACTATTTATTCCGGAACATGAGTAATGAGCTTGCGGGAGAAATTTCGATTCGGAAGAAGCAAGCAAAAATTGGCTTGAAAAGTTTTTCGATTCAAAACCAAAATCCTACTAAGAAAGAGGAATCCGCAAATTGCCTGTAAAATGGGCAGAAGTCTTCAATAATAATGGAAAATGAATGAATTTAAATGAATGGAATGAATTTATGGTTTTACGTTGAATAAATTTTAGTTCAAAGTCCCGCAGTTTTCAATTCACCAACCCAATAACTTTATTTTTCTTTAAACAACAGAATTTGTTTCACGAAACGTCCCAAATCATTTATTTAAGTCTTCTCATTTTCCAAATCGACTTGAAATGAGAGTTTTGTGAATCCAGCTTCAAATTCCTTTTCCAAAACCGTTCGATCTTTGTCATTTCTTTTTCTCATATCTTCATCGCTTCGTGGCTGGCTATTCAGCGAGCGTTGCTGATATTTGATCTGAAATTTATAATTACAGTGGCGGAAAAAAAGTATTGAGCCCCCCAGACTGTTTTTAATTACAATGCGGGGGCTCAATACAATTACAATGCGGGGCTTTTCTACCACTGTATGTAACATTTTCAAAAGTTGTTAAAATGAACAATTTAGCTTTTCGATATTCTTTGAACTAAGATCAAAAAAACCTTATTTCAGCATGATTTTTGAAAATCTATATTTCAAGAATGTTTAAACACTAGTAAAGAAGAATTCAACTTTCCAAAACTGTTTGATGATTTTAATGACTAGAAAATTGGAATAGTAGCTGATTGTAAGCAACAATGGAAGCATATAAGCAGTTGTAAGCTTTTAAAGTAAATAAAGTAGCTTTTAAAGTATGCGAACTTTGGCAAAAGTTAGTGATTTAGCTTTTCGATATTCTTTGAAATAAGAGTTTTATGATCGAAGAACCTGGTCGCGTCCGTTTCCTTCCTATTTGCGTTGCTATTTTGCAATTATTCGCGTCGCATTTTTCGTCTTTTTGCTCCCTTCCCGAAATCATTTTTTTTTGGTCTGCGGGTTTTTTGGCTTCTTTCTGGGGGGACTTTGTTGTTTCATTTTTGATGCGCATGCTGTTTTTGTAATGGGTATTGTTGCATTTCAGCAATAGCAACGTTACTTTACTAAGAAACAGTAACGTTATAAATTCACTTTACTTTATGCTACCCTTCAGATTTTAAATCCTGTTTAACTGGTTTAACTAAATAACTAGTTTAACATTGTAGAGAGACTGATTTTACTAACATTTTTGTCACCAACGACGTAGTATCAATTCGATCTGTACTCTTCTCAAGAGTATTAATCTATTGTTGGATACTACGTGTTCTTGTTACGTTGTAAGCGCTTTTGGGGGAAACCCTTTTAACCTTTTGTGCTATTCGGCCATTCTTAACCCATTCGAAACTTCTGCAGCGAATAATGGCTGCAGCAAAAACTCAGGAACGGACCGCTGCAGCGATTATTCGCTGCAGCGCTAATTGAGCTATTTTCATTCAATTAATTGGTTTTTTTTGCTGTTTTTCAGCATTGCATGTATATTCCAATTGTAGCAGATCTACAAATTACGTGGGCAAAGAAGATGTTTTATATTTACCCGGAATCAATGCAGTCTCTGGTTTTGCATTGAAATGTTCCATAATAGCTCTAATCTTATAAAGCCGATCTCCCGCAGGATCCAGTTCATTATCACAAAAACGCAGGTTTCGAAGAATAGATTCAAATTTTGCTCTTGACATAATGTGGGACATGTGGGAAAATCCTCCTAATCCAGGCCTGCTACTCCAGTAGTCACGATACAGAGCCAGGAAGAGCTTGCATCGAAATCCTGCCAGTTTTTTTTTCCTTTTTCCATGTTTATTAGATTCGCCTACTAACATGCTGATTAATTTGTCGTCGATAAAATAAGAATAATATAGGATTTTGAAAAGTACTGAAGTCAAATCCAAATCGTTCTTCATCAAAAATAAATGGTGTAGGAGACTCTCTTGCATCTTTCCAACCATAAATAAACTGCTTCGGACTCAAAAATGTCAAAAAAGGGCTTGGTCCGTAGACGAAAAAAAAGAAAAAACGCTGCGGTTTCGAATGGGTTAAGCAAATCATCCTCGTTGATAAGGTTAAAGCACCCCAAACTACCACTTTTATTTTAAAAATCTGTATTTCAAGAACGAATCGACCTTATTGAAAACGGTTCGGATTAAAGTCGACCCTCGATAGTAAATCATTGAAGGGATTCTCCAAAAATGATTTACTATCGAGAGTTTTGCCTAATCAGTCCTAAAAACATCAAAAACATAAAAAAAAAACAAAAAAAAACTGAAATTGATCTGAAAATTGAAATTTGATCTGAAATTGATCTGAAATTGGTTTGGAAATTGAAATTTGATTACTATATCTACATCATTTTCTACAGTAACCCACGTTCAATATCCTTAAGAATCCGTGCTTTAAACAATCATCCGCTGTCGGCCTTTTCATCATATCAGGCTCGAGCATCATTTTGATCAAGTCTCGAAAATCTTCGCCTAAATTTGAATCATTTACTGCAACTGAATCATTTACTGCAAATCTCGCTAACAACAAGAGAAATCGGTTGTCTCAATGTGACTTAAGTTCCTTAATTAAAGCAACTGTTCACCTGTCAATGGTCCAACAGTGTTTAAGTTTTTCGTTTTGCAGTAATCTTCGAGAATCGATGTCAGCTTCTCTTCGCAAGGGCTTTCAGGCACTGGCCGATCAAACCTAAACTTTTCCGATCTTTACTTTACAGGTACTTTGGAATAAAACAAGTACTTTACAAGTAAAACAAGTACTTTACAAGTAAAACAAGTACTTTACAAGTAAAACAAGTACTTTACAAGTAAAACAAGTACTTTACAAGTAAAACAAGTACATTACAAGTAAAACAAGTACTTTACAAGTAAAACAAGTACTTTACAAGTAAAACAAGTACTTTACAAGTAAAACAAGTACTTTACAAGTAAAACAAGTACTTTACAAGTACTTTACAAGTAAAACAAGTACTTTACAAGTAAAACAAGTACTTTACAAGTACCACATTTATAACTTTAGTCAAGTTCATCAATTTTACTATAAAACCCACGCTGATTTGTATTGATCAGGGGGCACACCGAGAACTTGAAAGATTTGATCTTTTACTACATTTTCAGCTCCTCGTTTTCGGATCTAAAAGTCTCATTTTAAACAATTTGCTTATGAAATTAGATTAGCTTTTTAAGCCTTTATAAAATCTCACCTTCATCTCAATAGTTTTATCATCACCAGTTGGCATGAAAAGCTTTAAATCAAACATCTCGAGAGCGACCAATGCCGTGGCCCAAATATCAACTTTTGTATTATACCGTGCCTTCATCAGAACTTCGATTGGTTTGTAGATAAATGGAGTCTCAACGTTGGTTGAATGATCAAGATTTGGATTGATTTCTCTGAAAATCAAAGCTCTATTCTCTCTATCATTCTCTCTATTCTCTCTATCAAAGCCGAGTTCAATCGCCAGTTGTTTCTGGCTAAGCATTGTACTTTTGAACAGTCTTAAAGTCTTAAAGATCTTAAAGATCGTAGTCTTAAAGATAAGAAATGAAAGAACTTAAAAGATAAAAGATAAGCGTCTCAAAGATGCAAGACAGCAAATCTTCGAAATCTTCAAAACTTAGATTACCTTGATAGGCCGAAATCGAGTAATTTTATCTGGAAATCTATTTGATTCATCCCAATGTTCCTTGGTGTGACGTCCTGAATAGAAAAATGTTAAAAAAGCAATATTAGAATATTAATACTGAAATATTAGCAATATTTCAGTATCAGAAATGGTAAAGAACAACTTTCTAGGTCAAGTAGACGTTCTAAAACTTGTCTCAGATTGCTGTAACCTGTCGTAACGGTAACTGTTGGTAATGGTAACTGTTGGTAATGGCAACTGGATCACTCTTTAGAAGCCAGAGATCCGTTTAATAGCCAGAGATCCGTTTTTTCGATACACTCACAAACAACCGTACTCTGTGCATGATTCCTCGTTGATGCAGATAGTCTAATGCTCGCAATAGTTGAGTGAGCAGTGCTCCCAAATGTCTGATGTCGACATTTTTTACAGCATTTGCTTTGCGATGTCTAAAAGTTATCGATTTTCTATTATGGCAAGAAAGTTCGTAGAAAAAGATCGTGATTTCTCGAAAGCTAAAGGATATAAATGCATATGAAATGGCTAAATGTTCAACAAAGCATTTATTCTGATTCAAATCAAAACAAAGATGATCAAATCAATCTAAATCTCTTCCATTATTTTCAATAACCTTTTCCCATTTGGCACTTTTGGCATTTTTGCCCTTATCATAAAAGGCTATCAGTCACTTTTTGATGTCATCTTGCTGCCCAACCTGCTGCCCAACCTCCTGCCCAACCAGCTGCCCAACCTGCTGCCCAACCTGCTGCCCAACCTGCTGCCCAACCAGCTGCCCAACCAGCTGCCCAACCTGCTGCCCAACCTCCTGCCCAACCAGCTGCCCAACCTGCTGCCCAACCAGCTGCCCAACCTGCTGCCCAACCAGCTGCTCATCGGTCGGAATAAATTATAATCACTTAGGGCAAGGCTATATGAGGAATTGGCCATCACTTCTCAACCAAAGCTCTTCAAATTCTCCATCAAAGAAACATGAGGGCAAAGGAAGATGATTTTTCTCTTTTTGGTCTGTCAAAGCTGTGGATATTTATATTTTGTGGATACAAAGCAAAGCCGTGAATAGTTTTTCGAGCTAATCGGTTTATTTAGCAATTAAGTGTTGGATGTTGGCTTACTATTCAGCAACTTCCAATAAACCACTCCTTCCATATCTCAGAAAGCATAAACTCCGATGCGATGGCTCCAATCCGATCCTTCCATATCCGATAGCACAAAATTCTTCTGCAATTCAGGTTGGTTCGAGCTTCAGGTGCCACCAATTGACGTTTTCTTTGAAAGTTGACAGTAAGAACTTCCATAATACAGAGAGAAAAGAATATGGCTCATAAAGATGAGCAGCTGGGCATCAATATCCGGTTGAATTTCTGGTCACGGTATGGGTATTCAACTCCCCAATTTTGATGTAAACCCAAGAGCGTATAGATGTCTGACTATTGGTCAACCTTTAGATGCTCTGTTAAAGTATAGAGTAAGCCGATTGTCGTTTTGAATAACTGCCAGAAGATCATCATCTTTTAACTTTATCTCGGCTTTCCTCGCTGCTCGAGAATAAGAATAATCACCAGATCGAACTATCGTTTTGTGTTCGGTAATAGACCTCATCTACAACCCGAATATTGGCCTGATATAGGCTTAGGTTTAGGATTTATCGAGATCTAAAGATCAGGTGGAAAGTAAACGAATTTCATTCGAGTTTAAGTTTGAGTTCATTATCCTTCAGAATTTCTGAAAGAACTCATACAAAAGTACATGTCGAACACCGTACAGTACAACAGTACAACGTACAGTACAACAGTACAGTACAACGTACAGTACAACGACCGGATGATAGCTTTCAATGCAAAGAATAAAAGCTGGAAAGAAAATAATGAATAAAGATAGAACATGAAGATATTTTGTGTAGTAATAGGAGCACTTTGGTGTAAACAATTCCCATAGCGTTCTGGTTTCGCTCGCTTTCGGTTCAGGTTTTGCTTTTCCAATCCAATCCAATCCATTATCTTTTCAATAGTTAAAATATAATACCCACTTTTCATCACCAGAACATGTGGAATAAAAGAATATTGGTTGTCTCTTAAAAGAAGTCATCGAGATTGAGAGACATTACAGTTACAGACATTACAGTCAGAGTATGGGGAACTCAGAGCCCAAATTTTGAGGCTAACATTGAATTGAAGTGATGTTTAATTGGTTTGAAGTCCGAAAAGGTCAGAAGGTCAGGTCAGAGTTGTTCTCCCAGAAGTTTTTGATTGTTTGTTATCGATTTATCAAAGATTGAGCTGTTTTATCGAAATCACTGAAAAAAATCGCTGACCTCGGCTCATCTTCCAAAGAAAAATCATATTTATTGAAACAATGATATCATTTCTATACCATTTTATACTATTCAGCCTTGCCCTCTTCATAAACCACATTGACTGAAACTTTTTTCAGTAAAGAAGGAAATGACATGTTGAAGATCAGCTGTTGAAGATCAGCTGTTGAAGATCAGCTGTTGAAGATCAGCTGTTGAAGATCAGCTGTTGAAGATCAGCTCTTGAGCCTCCAAAGATCAAGTGGAAAGTAAACGAATTTCATTTCATTTGATTCCATTTCATTTTCAGCGATCAATAGAAGAGAAGTGAAGTAAACAAATGCCTTTATCAGCTATTTTCTCTGATGTTAAGAGAAAGAGAAATCAGAGACAAAAAATTCTATAAGCTTCCTTGCCAACCTAATATTTTAGTTTAGATAAATTACCAACTCATAGTATTTTTCCAGTGTGTGATCCATTCGCTCGGAGACGAGCCAAATGGCTTCAAGTTTCTCCTTTCCTCCTTCATTCTCCAATTTGATTTTCTCGGGAAAAGCCTCGTAAAAGGTAACGATCTAAAGGTTTTATCTATTAAGTTGGAAAGAAAGTTTTCGGAAAAAGTTTGACTGGAATTTCTTAAAAACAAAACCACTAATTCAAGAACATTTTGTACTATTCTTTACAAGTCGACTCTAAGAAATTAATCGTAAAAAATGAGTGCAGCTTTCTTTTAAAATTTTAGAGATTTTTGAAAGATTATTTTCTAAGATTAAATTCAACTCACTCTCTAAGATTAAATTCAACTCCAGAAAAACGATTTCTTATAAGGTAAAGCCAGTCAGCAAGCCAGCCAGTCAGTCATGCTTCATTTATGAATTTTTAATTTTTTTTTAATTTTTTTAAAATTCCCAAAATCCCCCCCTTCCCCCTCCCCCCCCCCCCCCCCCCCCCCCCCCCCCCCCCCCTTCCCTTTCCCCTTTCCTTCTTTTTTTTTTTTGGTTTTTTTTAAATTTCCCCCCCCCCCCCTCCCCTCTCTTGTTTTATAAAAATTTTTTTTTTTAATATATTTATTTTTTTTTCCCCCTTCAAATTCCATTCATTTTTTATTTTTTTTCCCCCTTTTTTTCCCTCTTCCCCTCCTCTTTTTCTTCTCCCCTTCTTTTTTTTTTTAAAATTTTTTTATATTTTTTTGTTTTTTTTTTTTTTTTTTTTCCTCTCCCCTCCCCCTTCTTAAAAAAACATATATATATATATTTATGCTGGCTTTTTCTATTTTTGACCAAGAAATGTTTTTACAGAGAAGCTTTATTTCAAAAAATCACTTTTTTGGTGTCATCTTGGCACTGAGTGTTTGCCAAAATAGGTGATTTTGAAAAGTTAAAGCATTAGATAAAATTTGCCTTTATCACATCTTTTCTCTATTTTAAGTACTTCATTTTAGGTTTTGAATGGGGTCCATTGCCTATCCATTAACCCATTAAAAACTTGTCTAAAGGCTGGCCACTTAAAAAGTGATCAAGTCATTTCAGCTAAAGAAATCCCTTATTTTTTACCTGAACCGCATTCTGATTCTTTTTGTTAAAAACTTTTAATCTAGTCAAGCTAATCAAAAAATCTGGAAAGAATTGATGGCTTGATTTTTGAGAAATCACAGTGCAAACTTTTTCCGAGAACTTTCTTTTCAACTTTATATGATAAATAGTGATGGTTATGATCGATTTGTTTTATAAAACTTAATCTATCTATATGTCTTTCTATTTGTATATAAATTTGCAATTAATCACTCGCTAACACTAGGTAAACTCACATTTTCGTGTCTTTGAAAGCGAGAAATTTGTATCAAATTGATTGCTATTTTTTATGTGGTCCTATCATTTCGCAACAGGTGTTAAATAAAGAAAATGCTATAATTTTGTTGCAATTTGTTCAGATACTGTTAAAAATGGTATAGATGCCTATTTTTGTATATGTCGTAGCCGATTATGAATGAAATTTTTTGGCAAATCTTTCTAGTAAAGCAACCCTTTAATGTATGAGGACAATATTATATCATTTTGTAGCGAATTGAATTCTGCGTCGATTGGTACCAAATTTGTGAGTTTAGGTTAAAAATTGCCGGCGCTACAACGTTTCATTCAAAAGCGGCGGGATCCCCGTAGCCGATTATGAATGAGCGGGTCTAGGAGCGTCCAATCATCAAGTATTTGGGTCTAGGAGCGTCTAGGAGCGTCCAATCATCAAGTATTTGGGTCTAGGAGCGTCTAGCAGCGTCCAATCATCAAGTATTTGGGTCTAGGGGCGTCTAGCAGCGTCCAATCATCAAGTATTTGGGTCTAGGAGCGTCTAGCAGCGTCCAATCATCAAGTATTTGGGTCTAGGAGCGTCTAGCAGCGTCCAATCATCAAGTATTTGGGTCTAGGAGCGTCTAGCAGCGTCCAATCATCAAGTATTTGGGTCTAGGAGCGTCTAGCAGCGTCCAATCATCAAGTATTTGGGTCTAGGAGCGTCTAGCAGCGTCCAATCATCAAGTATTTGGGTCTAGGAGCGTCTAGCAGCGTCCAATCATCAAGTATTTGGGTCTAGGAGCGTCTAGGAGCGTCTAACCATCAAGTATTTGGTATCATTCAACGCAGAATCATTGATAATTATGTTAACTTTTTAAAATTAGCAAGATTTGATAAAAAGAAAAAAAATTAGAGCAAAAAAACTGTTTGTTCAAGAGGAAACTTTGAAGCCCCATAATTTTTTTTCTTTTTATCCAATCTTTCTAATTTCAAAAATTTAACATAATTATTAATGATTCTGCGTTGAATGATACTAAACACTTGATGGTTGGACGTTCATAATTGGCTCATTCATAATTGCCACTCATTCATAATTGGCTACGACATATATAATAGGTTGATGCATAAGTCTTTTCGTTTTTTTCGTACTTCTGTTAAAAAGTAACAAATTCACCAATTAATCTATAGTTTGCTCTATAAAAAAAGTGTTTTTTTGTTCAATTTGCATCTTTTTAAATGAATTTCGGTTCACTTTCAAGCAAATTCGAGAGTGAAAAACGCCTTTTGTCGTAAAAATCTATAAAAAACTCTACGGAAAAATTGGCTGAATGAATTTCTCTGAAATTTTGGCGAAATATCAAACGTTTTTTTTCTCTATCTTTTATCTATTGACACGAAGATAGGTTTTCTTTAGCTAAGGTGTCTAAACCGCATCTAAACCGCATCGAGTTAGCCCTTTTTGACTACCCGACTTCATACTCTCAAGAAAATCCAGGCATTAAATATTTTTAAACCCGTTTTAATGTTATTTTGCAGAAAAATAATTGATTTTTCTAATGAAATCAACCGGAGTTTAATTGGTGCATTTGTTGGCTTGAAACGGCAGACGAAAAGGAACAAAAACACTTATGCATCAACCTAATATTTCTAGGATTTAAAAGCTATTTCGCGTTATTAAATTTCATAGCCAAAAAATGCAAAATTTAGGGGTGGTCATTTTGTGATATCCTTATGATAAATAGTCATAGTTATGATCGATTTGTTTTATAAAACTTAATCTATCTATATGTCTTTCTATTTGTATATGTCGTAGCCGATTATGAATGAAATTTTTTGGCAAATCTTTCTAGTAAAGCAACCCTTTAATGTATGAGGACAATATTATATCATTTTGTAGCGAATTGAATTCTGCGTCGATTGGTACCAAATTTGTGAGTTTAGGTTAAAAATTGCCGGCGCTACAACGTTTCATTCAAAATCGGCGGGATCCCCGTAGCCAATTATGAATGAGCGGGTCTAGGAGTGTCCAACCATCAAGTATTTGGGTCTAGGAGCGTCTAGCAGCGTCCAATCATCAAGTATTTGGGTCTAGGAGCGTCTAGCAGCGTCCAATCATCAAGTATTTGGGTCTAGGAGCGTCTAGCAGCGTCCAATCATCAAGTATTTGGGTCTAGGAGCGTCTAGCAGCGTCCAATCATCAAGTATTTGGGTCTAGGGGCGTCTAGCAGCGTCCAATCATCAAGTATTTGGGTCTAGGAGCGTCTAGCAGCGTCCAATCATCAAGTATTTGGGTCTAGGAGCGTCTAGCAGCGTCCAATCATCAAGTATTTGGGTCTAGGAGCGTCTAGCAGCGTCCAATCATCAAGTATTTGGGTCTAGGAGCGTCTAGCAGCGTCCAATCATCAAGTATTTGGGTCTAGGAGCGTCTAGCAGCGTCCAATCATCAAGTATTTGGGTCTAGGAGCGTCTAGGAGCGTCCAACCATCAAGTATCTGGTATCATTCAACGCAGAATCATTGATAATTATGTTAACTTTTTAAAATTAGCAAGATTTGATAAAAAGAAAAAAAATTAGAGCAAAAAAACTGTTTGTTCAAGAGGAAACTTTGAAGCCCCATAATTTTTTTTCTTTTTATCCAATCTTTCTAATTTAAAAAATTTAACATAATTATTAATGATTCTGCGTTGAATGATACCAAACACTTGATGGTTGGACGCTCCTAAACCCACTCATTCATAATCGGCTACGACATATATAAATTTGCAATTAATCACTAGCTAACACTAGGTAAACTAACATTTTCGTGTCTTTGAAAGCGGCAAATTTGTATCTCTCTTCTCAAACGGGTAAAACCATCAAAAGTCTTTTCGAGAGCATCGATTTTGTATCTAAAAACGGGTTTCTTAAACTTTATAAATATTTTATTTACAAAATTCTGACCTTTTTATAGCAACACGGAGCCAATTCTTCGTATCTTTTTCAATTTCCCCGGAAATTTCTTTGTTTTGATTCCAATCGACGTATGGATAGTAAAGCTTTGCTGATCTGAAATTTAAATTTTAAAAATCTAGAGCTAGAAATTGAATCTTATCTCAAAAACTACACAAAATTCACATTATATCGGAGAAGTTCCCTTTAGAAATCCCGTGAAAAATCTGATCTTTCGCAGAATTCTCCTTTGTCTCGCTTTTGCCACTTTCGTCATTTTGATCCAAAATCTCATCTTTCTTCAAATTCTCCTTGATCGCGCTTTTCTCACTTTCGTCGTTTTGATCCCGTCGATAGTATTTATCGGACTAAAAGATTGATTTTACGATTCTCTTGGGTATTTTATGAATTTTTAAGTCCTTGACTACAGTCCGGCAACTTTCCTAGTCCATAAAAAGCTCTTAAATCCATCAAAAGCCAGACCTGAACCCTGACCGGGGAACTCCTTGAAGTTAGATTTCAAGAGTGATCTGATTTCGACGCGCAAACATCCCCTGGTTAAGGTCATCACGAAAATGCTTTCAAATTCTACTTGTCAACTCCTGGAAGTTAGATTTCAGGAGTGATCCATCAGAGAGCCATTTTTGAGATATATACCTTCAAAGTTTCGACCAAGGTCGCAAGCAAACAGCAAGTACTTAAGGCTTTGGCGCGGGTTAAGCTGTTTGTCTTGGTGGTTCAAAAAATAGTACTTCTAGTGGATAGTATGCCGACGTTTTTCTCCCTGGTTCGAATCCTCTCGCTGGCAATACTTTTTGAGCAATTTTATTGCTTAACAGGACGCACTTAACCATGTGTTTGCCCCTCGGAATCAGATCGCTTCTGAAATGTAACTTCAAGGGGCTCCCCGTTGAGTACTTCATAAAACAGATCTGGATTGAGTAGTACATAAGCCAGATCTGGACCTTTGAATGCTGCTTAAACTAGGTCAGGATTGAGCACTTTATGGAGTGCTGGATTGGCTCCTTGACAATCCAGGCCTGAACAGTTGGAACCTTTACAATCCAGGATCGGATCCTGAGTACTTAAGCCTGGCTTAATAAGCCAGGCTTGGATTCTCAGAGTCATTTGGAACATCATGGATAACCCTAATGACCTTTAGCAAATCAAATCGAAATTTGCTTTCAAAAAGTATGAAAGATGAGTATCGTTTGTGATATAGGTGCTTCTTGAACTCAGCTATGTTAACTCTGCCTCTTTTTTGGTTCGTTTACCGTTTGGCAATCTACTTATTTTCCTCAAATCTTTACCGGGTTTATTTGAAAAACGTTGAATTTGCTTTCATTCGACTCGAAATCAATTTTTCTATCGAATGAAGGCAAATTAAACGTTTTTCAAACAAACCCGATCAAGGTCCGAGCAAAATTCGTAGGTTGCCAACGAGAAACGAACCGAAAAAGTGGCAGAGTTAATATGGCTGCTTGAACAGTATCTTAAAAGTATAATAACTCACCAAATCTGGCACGTATCCCCAGGGTACTCTGATTTTTAGGTCATCCACTTTTGGCTTGCTTGAATAGAACCGGACCTCTCCGTCAGCCATTTTACCAAGGGCGAATCTCGGCTTTGACATTATTGAGTCTTTGTGAATTTGTGAGGATCTAAAGCAGTGAATATTGTTGAAAGTTATTAAAGTGTATCAAGTAAAATTGTAAACGCAGCTTTCCTGACGCACTAAATGCTACAGTTTCCTTGTAGCAACGAGTTAGTTTGGAATTGAGTGCCCCAGAATGGGTGCGTACAATTTTTAGAGCACAAAGTACAAATAGAAAACGACTTGAGGCTTAAATCCCGGATACTTTGGGCATTCATTGGACATTTATTGGGCATTCATTGGGCATTCATTGGACATACTTTGGGCATTCATTGGGCATACTTTGGACATACTTTGGGCCTTCATTGGGCACTCATTGGACATACTTTAGACATACTTTGAGCTCAAATCTCTCAAACACACCGCTTTTGACTCACTAGATTCATCAATTGCCCAAAATCTTGGGTAGTTGGATTCACAGGATTGCGTCAGATGGAGTGCGTTTACAAGGTGAAATGAGTCTGCCAAAGTTTGCGAGTTTAAGCACAAAGTACACTAGACTTAAAACATAAAGAATAATAAACTTTAAAAATGTTTAAAATTTTTAATTCCTATTGAAAGTAGGAAAAGGCTTTATCTCTGTCGCTTTACACTTAAATCGATGGCTCTTATCAGTTTCCCCGTTTCTGTGGCAAAAGGAAAATGGCTGACTCTGAGCTTTTGGTGTTTTGATGTTGAAATAAAACAAACCTTAAGCCTTTCAGCCGTCCAGGACCCAAGAGGCCCATAAAACCTTATTTTAACGCAAGGAAAATGAGAAAATTGCTTGCGTAAAGTGATAGCGATTTGTTCGATGCTCAGGAAATGAGTAGTAAGCTTTGAGCAATAAAATTGAACTGGAATGAAGGAATTTGAGCTGAGAGTCATTTGTATTGCTCATAGGCTTTTCTGGGGACATTTGAAGAAAAATAAACTCTTCCTGAGGAATAGGTTGTTTTTGAGCAGGACCCAGGATTGATTTTATTCTTGATTTTGCTATCGAATGATATCAAATAAAAATTGATTGCAGTACAGAACCCCGAAAAAATCAAGAGATAAAACTCTCGAATCGGATCGCATTATTCTCTCGATTTGGCTGCTTATTCATGTACAGCAATCGTTTATAGGATGGAGAATTTGTAGCAAAAAAACAGCTAAATTTGAAGCGAAAGTTGATACAAAAAATTTGGGCATAGTGAGGCCAACCATACGGGAAAACTGGCTGAATCGCTGACATTCACCGATTCCAAAAGGGAAGCACTTTATACTAGAGCGGTTTGCCAGACGGTGAGAACGCAAATTCGTGTAAATCTTACATTCGTGTAAATCAATCGTTTATAGGATGGAGAATTTGTAGCAAAAAAAAACACTACAATTACAAGGTTACAAGAAAAACGTAGGAAGAAGTGTTAACGGATCAACTGAGAAACCTTTTTAAAGCACGTGTGGCTGACTGGTTAAGTGTCTTTTATCTTAATCGGAAGGTCGAGGGCTCGAACCCCACATGCGACATGGTCACCCCTTCGGATTTCCTTTCCCTTCGGGTTGAGAGTTAAATTCTTACAGATCTCAGTGTTGGACAAAGAAAACTCAAGATCTAGAATAATTCTAAAAGAAATGGAGTAATCGAAGCGATAAACATAACACTTACGAAGACTATGTACACAGACCAAAGATTGAAGAGAAGCCAGGTGCCATGGCAGAATCTGAATGTGTTTTTTTTGAGGAGAACAACTTTAACAACTTTAACAACTTTAAAATCACTTTATAATCCTTGATTTAACCCAAGTTCAAAGTTTCTAGCTAGATTTAAATCTTCGGGACTATGACAATACCGCACCGCCATTTGCGCACACGAACAAAAGCGTCTTTGGCGCACAAGTCTTTGGCGCACAAGTCTTTTGCGCACAACGCTTTTGCGCACAAGTCTTTTGCGCAACGCCATTTGCGCACACGAACCAAAGGGTCTTTTGCGTCACGAACAAAAGCGTCACATAATAATCTGCACTACTTTTGCATGTTTCTCTAGTTTCATCACTGTTTCAGTACAGTTTTTAAAACTTATTGCACCTAGATTTATTTACGGTTTCAATTTATTTTTATTGTTAAATTGAAATTACGTTGTTTGAAATTGAAATACTAAACTACTCAATTTCAATGTTTCTAGCTAGATCTTCTACTCGAAACTTATAACGAAAACGTTAATCGTTATCTTAATCGGAAGCTCGAGGGTTCGAACCCCACATGCGACATGGTCACCCCCTTCGGATTTCCTTTCCCTTCGGGTTGAGAGGTTTTCTGGAGGGCAGTCTGGTGGTTGTGGCCCCAGTTCTTTAAAGTGACAAGCCACTCCTTCATCGTCATCTTCCCTTCACCACCAAAAAAGCTATTTAGCTCCCCATTGAGCTTAGGGTTAGGGAGCCGTCTGTCATGGCGTGGGTTAAGTTAAGATATAGCCTAGTATTGTGTGTGTCGTTGTATTGTGATTGATATATTTCGTGTATGCGATAAATTCACCACTGGTAGCCCCAGTCGGTATTTTTTTTAAAGAATAATTTCTCAATTTCTCGAGCTCAATGTTATCTTATTAGAAGAGAAGAAAAGTTAGCAGATTGAGTTTAAAAACTCTACAAAATAAGCTACAAATTGATTCTAAAAACTCTACAAGATAAGCCCAGGATTTTGTAAAAAAACAAAAAAGTTTCGAGCAGGATGAGATTCGAACTCACGCGGGGAAACCCCATTTGATTAGCAGTCAAACGCCTTAACCACTCGGCCACCTGCTCACGGGAACCAGGGTCTTCAAAAAGGTTAATCACATAGATCCAAGGAATCAGTCTCTTGATTTTTGGCTTCATAAAAGATTTAGCAAGTTATTCTAAAGTAGATTCTCAAGAAGAAAAGATTCAAAATTATAAAAATCTCGGATATCTTTCACAGGGAAAATGTTTTTATCGAAGCAAATCGACTCTGAGAATTTTTTTTTTTTTTTTTTTTTTTTTTTTTTTTTTTTTTTTTTTTTTTTTTTTTTTTTTTTTTTTTTTTTTTTTTTTTTTTTTTTTTTTTTTTTTTTTTTTTTTTTTTTTTTTTTTTTTTTTTTTTTTTTTTTTTTTTTTTTTTTTTTTTTTTTTTTTTTAAAAAAAAAAAAAAAAAAAAAAAAAAAAAAAAAAAAAAAAAAAAAAAAAAAAAAAAATTTTTTTTTTTTTTTTTTTTATTTTTTTTTAAAATTTTTTTTTTTTTTTTTAAAATTTTAAAAATAATTTCAACTGAATAAATCAATAGACCAAATCGAAAATTTTCTTCCTTACTATTGTTTTGAAAATCCTATCAATGGCGAATGATTTATTTCAAATGAATTTGAATTTGAAATGAAATGAAAGGAAAATGAAACACCACTTAAATTTACCATTTGAAACAATCACTTTTACCAATATAGATAAATGCTTAAAACATACATATACCATTGTTGATCTGAAAACTCTAAATTTTCTTTCTTACCCAAGCTTTTTTCACTATCAAGTTATTTTGTTGACGCTTTTCTTGGCTCGAATCTTCTTTTCAATGACAATAAATCAGTTTGTAAACAGCTAGGATTTTGCAAAGAATGTGCAAAAAAAGTGTGAGATCTAGTTTTGAATATTTCTTTTTAGAGAAACGAGATTAACGAGATGTATGAAGGATTCCTAATAGTTAGGTCTAATAGATCTATTGAAAGCACTAGTTTCTAGGGTTTTCCTTTGATCTTAAGTTTGAGACTTTCTAAGAAATGGTGGTACCCTTTAACATCTACTGTACTTCTATTAAAAGACACCCTCTAATCTAAGAAGCATCTTTTATTCACTTTTGCCATTGGCGGCTTTCCTTTGATCCCTTTAAATTCTATTTTGTGCTGTAACTACCGTAGTTCTTGGCTTGTTTCCTTGATTCTTTTTATTTTTTTATTTCATTTTACCTAGTTTTACTTCTTCTAACTAACTTTTGCTTTTAGCTTTTTTATTTCCAATTTATTAATTACATCTAGTAATTTTTAAAGTTTAGGTGACGTCAATGAGTGATCATCAAAGAAATTTGAGCAAACGAGCAAACGGTGAGGTGCTACGACGCATGTTTCAAGCTGGAAGCAATCGGATATACAAAGAAGAACAACAATCGAAAAGGGGGACGACATTTTGACGTTAGCGAGTGCCAAATTCGTGCAGGAAGAAAGCAAGAAGCGAGCCTGACCAATGCAAACAAGAAGACAAAGAAATTATCTGGTGGCGGACGTCGGTTAAGGTTGTGCAAACTCGAAAAAGCCAACAACAAACCCGACAATTTGAGGAAACGCTGAGGTGCTACGACGCGTGTTTCAAGCTGGAAGCAATCGGATATACAAAGAAGAACAACAATCGAAAAGCGGACGACATTTTGACGTTAGCGAGTTCCAAATTCGTGCAGGAAGAAGGCAAGAAGCGAGCCTGACCAATGCAAACAAGAAGACAGAGATTATTTGGTGGCGGACGTCGATTACGATTGTGCAAACTCGAAAATGCCGTCTTGCAATAGATTCTCTACAAACGACGAGAGAAATTGCGTATTTCCTACAAGATGCTGCAGAATAAAGCCCGTGTCGTCGCTCGAAGTTTCCAGGACCCCAAATGAATTGAATTTCAAGCGAGCTGAGGATGGTTGCAAAAGTTTTGCTTTGGTCATCAATTCATACTGCGAAAGCCAACAAGTGTTGCCCAGACACCAGCAGATTAAGAGGAAAAACTTGTCAACTTTGTGATGTGTTTGAGGCAACTCCGTGACGTCAAAAGTATGCACCCATCTGGGCAGCTGATGGAACCGCCGTTTGGATCGATCCGATTGCTGGAAACACTGTTACCATCGTGGGTGCAAAAAATGTTGTTGTTCTTTTTACCGGTCACTCCAAGACTCGTATCACTGTTTTTTTGACGGCTCGATCGGCTGGATTTTGTGCAAAACCGTTTGTTCTTTTGCCTCGAAAACGAGCTGTCAAAGAAATTGACGTCAAATTGGATTTACACTCAATCTTTGCTGGATGAGCACCAACTAGATGAATGATGAAGCAACGAAAGTTTATTTGAAGCAAACATTTGGCAAGACTTTTCCAACCGCTGTTAGTTTGGGATTCTTTCCGTTGTTGCATTTCGGGAAAAACTAAGAGCGTCTTGAAATAGTTCAAACTTCATACACCGATTGTTCCAGGAGTTCCAGGAGAACGGGAATGGTTCAGCCTGCTGACGTTTCTTGGAATTCCATTCAAGAAGAAGACTCAAGAATACTATGACGAATGGATGCTCACTGGAGTCAGAGAAGTGACATCTGGAGGAAATCTGAAAGCAACTCGAATAGGAGTTTACTTTAAATGGATTTACGACGCTTGGCAATCAATCTCGAAACAAATAACGTTGAATGACGTCGATTTGAATGAGGATTTTAACAAATTGGATTATCACTCAGATGCAACTTTTCTTAGCAACAAAAACTCTGAAATCACGGTTTCATCTTCAACTTCTTCGTTAGATTCTATTGATTTAGATCTAGAAAACCTTGGAGATGACGTCAACAAAGAAAATTTCGATAAAGCACTTTGGACTTAAATTGAACAATGCTGTTTTTTTTCTTGTTTGTTTTGTTTGCAAAAAATTTACTGTTGTTTTTACATTGTTTTTCTTTCTTGTTACTTACATATCTTTATTGAAATATTAGGTTTAAAACCCTTTTTATTACTACTTTGATGCCTAAGCCTAAGCACAAATTAATGAAATAATAAAAGACGCATCTAGAACTCAATCGAGAGAATAAAAGACGCATTCTTTTATTAGAATATTTATTATCCAGTAAATAAAAGAGAGAGCATCTCGTTTTCTAGAGACGCTGCCTTCCAAAATGGGCTAAAGTCGAGTGTTCAGCTACTTCTATCATCAACAGTGCTTTCTTGCAAAAACAGCAATGGGGATTTGTTGATATCTCTGTACTATGTACAGTACGCACCAGTACTATTTGGTGCACCAATACTGTTGCCCAAGCCTGCGTACTACATATTAGCCTTTAACACAACAAAGTCATCTAACAAAATCTAAATTCATCCTGAAAGCAAAGAACACTCGAATGACAACTCCAATTCGTAAAAACCCGATTCAATGACGTCAAAGGTGTCAAACTTTTTGCGAAATATATTCTAAATTTTTTTGCTACGATACTTTACAATGAATCATCAAAAATTCAGCAAAACCCTGATGATACGGCTTTTTTTCACCGATAAGGAATAATCTTTGAAAGAAGAATTTTAAATCTCTCCAAATAACCGATCAATTCTTGTGAAATTTTGTGCATTTAAATGTTTTTTTAAAAATTTTAGACAGTATTCGGTTCTTTTTGATCTATTTTTCTTTTCATTAGATTCCGTACCTTGATACTTAAACTGAAATTGTCTTTTCCTATACTTCTTCTAGCAGTTATTATTTGTAAATTAAATAAATTTTACATGAAACTTATTTTGCAACAATTTAGTTATGAGATACTTGCTTTTCATTGCACTTTTCCTCATCTCGCCAACCAAGGCTGCGGTAAAGTGCTGGGTGGGCGCCACGTCGAGTGAGATCACGGTTGACACTACAGTAAGAAGTCTTTCAATAATTCATATTTTAGTGCTTTCTTTATTCATTTAGTCGTACTGATCAACTCGTTCCAGTAAATATTCTTCGGTTCTAAATCGATTCTTTCTCGAATAAAGCGCTTAAATCGTGTCCAGTGTACCGTTTAGCAAATCATCAAAACAAAAAGCCTCTTCTATTGAGTTGGTGAATTGAAAACTGCCGGCTATTGTCATATGTGACAGTTTGAGCACTTTCTTCAAAAGAAACCCATTTTGGTGTCAATGGAAAAGTTGTAGAGAATCAAAAATGAAGCTTATACCCAAATTTTCAGAACGATTCAAAAACTGGTTTTCAAGAAATGCCAAATTTACGAATTTTCACAAAACTTGCATTTTAAGCGAATCTACTAAGTGTATCTTTTTGGAAATTTGGCTATAAGCCTAATTTTTGATTCTCTACAACTTTTCTATTGACACCAAAATGGGTTTCTTTTAAAGAAAGTGCTCAAACTGGACTGACAGCTGACATCTCCAGTCCTCCATTTTTGAGTCTCACACTTGTCTCACAAACAAACCAAAATCCTATTACGAAAGAATCCGCAAATTGCCTGTAAAATGGGCAGAAGTCGTCAATAATAATGGAAATTATTTGGAATGAATTGATGGTTTTATGTTCAATAAATTTTAGTTCAAAGTTCGGCAGTTTTCAACTCACCAACCCAATATAAAATACTGCTCAAAATTATCCACTTAATTTCTATTAATATAACTTTTAAGGCACATAAAAAGTCAATTAAGCTAGAATATGGTGCATTTATTGTTGGTTACAGTAGCCAGGGCAATCCTTAGCAGCTATCCGTTCAAGAGTCGGGCTTTGAAATCAAAAAAAAATTGCTTAAAAAGCTTTCTTTTTTGAAGAGTACTTAGAACAAAGTACAGAATTTCTGAAATATTTATTACTTAGCTGAAAATTTTCTAGAGTGCGAGCGTCAAACAGTACCCATGTGAATGCGGAGACTACTGTTTAACGGGTTACATCGGAGGGCCAACTGGAGTCAAGAATGTGGTTCGTTTTTGGAAATAAAAAAGCCAAGTTTTTATTCATCAAAACTTGATAAATCAAAAAGCATCTTCAGAATTTGTACTACTGGTCGTGCGGTTGTCTTGGTCAAGATCAAGCTGAAGATAAAGCAATTCAAATTTGCTCGGTAACAAATTCAAACCAATTTAGACTTAGATGAAGCGAAATTTTAGAATTTTCTAAAACGTGTCCCCTTTCTCTTTCTACTGTAATCTCTGTTTTTATCTAATCTTTCCTTTTTATCTGATTCTGTAAAGATTCACAAAGAATGATGAGAATGATGATGAGAAAGAATGGAAGATATAAAAAGAACGATTGCATAAAAATACAGGGTGACAAGTAATTATGGAAACGAATTTGAAGCTTTGTCCTGGACTTGTCGGCTTCAAGAACCTAGAGATGTTCGGCAACTTTTATGAGCATTTAGCTTAACATTTTTGCATGAATCATTACCGTATTCGAAGCGAACGGAGAGTTTTGGTTGAGAAAAACTTTCACAAAGACCTTTCCGATGCAATTCAAATGATTGTTGGTATAATAGTACGAACTAGACATGGGAAAATTCAAAGCTCAACTTAATTCCTTTGCTTTTTCAACCGTTTTTTGATCGATTCCTTTCAAATTATGGCTATAAGCTGATTTAAGCTATAAGCTATAAGCTACAGTACTGGACAATGAAATATCATATTTGAAGAAACGATCGTCACTTTCGCGTGTCTGTAACGTCTGTAACGTCTGTAACTCGTCTGTGTCACTCGTCTGTGTCACAAGCGATCGTCACTTCGTCACTTTCGCGCGTCTGTAACTCTCTTTTCTTTGAGTTTAAACTATTAGTGTTATACATTTTCTGAAAGCTCTTTTCAAGGGCTACACAATGGTAATATTAGTATTTAGAAATACGGTAAAGACAAGGGAGTTACAGACGCGCGAAAGTGACACGTCCAGTAGTGTAGCGTCTGCTTTTATCCAATCTATCCTTGGAATCTTTTTATCTGATTCTGTAAAGATTGACAAAGAATTTGGAAGATATAAAAAGTGGATAGATTGCATAAAAATACAGGGTGACGAGTAATTAGTAATTGAGTAATTATGGAAACGAATTTGAAGCTTTGTCCTGGACCCTGGACTTGTCGGCTTCAAGAACCTAGAGAGGTTCAGCAACTTTAGCATTTGAGCATTTAGGAATCAAAGCTTAACAATCAGACGAACTTGAACGTGTTCCCCTGAGGATTCTAAAAAGCTTACAGCCCCTGGTGGCTGCACTGCGAACAAGGAACATTTCTAGGAAAAATCGTTATTGAAATCCGAAATAACTAATATTTAACAAAGTTTTGCTTGTATTTCATTCATTACATTTATTCAAATTAATTTCTATTTGAATAAGCTTTTCTTTGGCGAATAGAGCTTGGTTAACATCGCTTCTGATGAATTTCAGCAAAAGCTTTAGTAGGTTTTCGTGTGTTTTTTGGAGAACTGAAGGGAAGTTTAATTTATTTTTGTCAAAGATATTTGTAGTAAGTTTTATATTAGGTGTGTGAAAAAGTAATTCACGTTTTTAACGTTTAAATATAATAGACCATAAATTTCGTTAAATAAAATTCATGGCATTCAAGCGTTTCCTTACGGTTGACCCATCACAATTTAATGTAAGGCCTATTTCTGAAGAGGTTGAACGAGGGTTTTCGAGAAGACAGCGTCTTATTTGGTCATCAGAACAGGTCTCAGGGCGACCGCCACGTGGTTCATCTTCTAGGCTTTTATTACCACCTTTGAATCGTCGGAACCAAAACCTAGCGGTATCATCAATAACGGCGTCTTCGCCAAACGCATTCCGAATTCGACGTGCAGCCTCCGCAGCTTTCAACTCATTTTTGAACTCATAAAGTAAATTTGACCGAATAGCGACACTTGTGTATACCATTTTCAAACTAAAATGAAAGTAGTTTATTGTCGTCCTTTTAACAAAATAAATATATCATTCGAAAGAGGAAAAAATAAGCTTTTAAACGATATATATATCGTTAACAAAAAATTAAAAATTGTTTAGATATATTTATTTTAAGAAAATAAAAATAAAAAACGTGGATTACTTTTTCACACACCTAATATTAAGTATATTCAACGATTGCCTTATCTTCAACGATTGCCTCAATTAGAGAAAAGAAAGTAAAAAAAGGCTTTCCATATTTATTGATCACCCTGTAGAGACAAGTAAAAAGAGAAAGAAGTGTTAGAAATTGAGATAAAAGCTTTTTTTAGAAAGAGGGTAAAGTAGAAGTGACTGGTGGAGTGACGATGGTTAATTGTTGTAAAGGAGAACTCTGCAATGCGAAAGCTTTTCATTATGAAGACACTACTAAAGCCACAAAAAGGACAGCTAGCATTTTTCTCATTTCTTTGCTCACCATTACCATTTCATGGATTTTTGTTTAGGAAAATTTATTCAATTTTATGATAAATGTTAATAAACTAATTTTTGTTAATAAACTAATCAATTCAGTTTATATTTTGAGCACAAAACATTTACACTTACATAACGTAAATACTGTAATAGTACCCCATCCCCATAATGACGGTGCAGAGTGTTGCGTAGTCTAGATTTGAACGAGTTTTTCTTGACACTGGTTTATGCTACAATGCTCGCTTAGATCTCAAAAAATAGCTGAAATTCAGGGCTATTTTTTGATATCAAAGACGCATTTTTTGAAAGCACCGGTGCTTTGAAATGCTAAAAAACTTTTGCGACTACGCGACTGCACGAGGGCGGTGGGGTACTATTACAGTATTTATATAAGTACATTTACAAGTCTATATAGCTGCTATTTCAGTAAATAAAAGACGAATTGAGGTGTCAGTAAATCCCAGAAAGGATGGGTTTCTGTTTTGTCAGTATTTGTAAAATTTTAAGTTTAGAAATCAGGTGTACTTTGAGTTTAAAGTCATCACAGTACTTTAAAAAAGAAATCTTTATTTCCAGGTTCTCAATTTATTACAGCTAAATTCATTTGAATGATCGCTGATTGCAAAAGATCCTTGCAACAGTTCAGACTTTCCGTGTTGCCTTCGTGCTAAAAATATTCAGCTAATAGCTAATAAAAGACTTAGCTAATAAAAGTTCAAGTTCTACATCAAACTTCACTACAATCATTTGAAATAAGGATTTGGTTCTTTCACTTTAGTTGTTATGTTAGTTGAATTGATTTCTGTTCTTTGAATACCGTATTTCCTCTAATAGTAGTGCACCGGGTCGAGCTGAGTTGATGACTATTTTACGGTTTCCAAACTTTTGCAGAAGCTCAACGCTCTAATCCCCCACATCGATAGGTTCTGATAAGCGGTTCTCGAGATTTCGAGAAATTTAGGGGACGCTCAGGGTGCACTACTATTAGAGAAAATACGGTATTTCAAAATTTCCAGAAAGTAAACAAATTGTGTTTTTTGAAGTTTATGAAAGAGAGTTATTTGCTTTTGCAAAATCATGAAAAGTGTTTTGAAATGTTTTGCAAAAAAAAGCAAAAAACTTTAGGTTTAGGATTCGAACCAGCAACAAATAAAAAAAATCACGTGCCACACTATCCATTAGGCCACCAGCTCACATTTGAGGGAGGGCGTTACCTTATAAACCTACCGAAATTGGGGCCAAATTTTGTACGCCAAATATCTCGCGTTACAGAGCTCTTCCAGAAAAGTTAATATCGGATTCAGAATCAGCGGAAAAAACTCTATTAGATAGAATTGGTTTTATTCGAAAAGCCTACCTTAACTTGACAACATTCCATTAGAGATATCCATAGAGATATCCATTGCCAGATATCCATTGCTGTTGGTGTAGGTCGATGATCGTGCAGTTGACAACATTTCCTAGTAAAGGGAATGGTCCCGTCCGTTCTTTTCAAAAATTACATTCTTATTTGCATTTAGTTTGCGTCGCTTTTTCGTCTGATTCTCTCCCTCAAATTTCTTTTTTGGTTTTCAGTGGAACTTGGCTTCTCACTCTTTTAGGGTTTGAAGTTTTGCTGCTTTTTTTCGGGATTTGATGCTTTTCTTCACGCGAACGCTATTTGTAATACATATCGTTGCCATTTCTTTCTTTACTAATAAACTGTAAAATTATAAATACTATTTTAAACTACCATTAAGCTTCTAAATTCTTTTTAGAGAGTTTGTCTAAAATTTTAGCTAATTCATCTAATTTTCTGACTTTTAAAGACTTTTCGGGAGTGGGACAAATGCGACCTTTTTGCGGCCATTTGCCATTTGCGGCCATTTGCGCACCTTTTTTTCCGCACCTGGCCCATTAGCGCACCTTTTTGTCGCGTTTTAAAAAAGCTTTAAAAAGCTAATATTAACCAATTTCTATTCCAAAAGTTGTTTTTCTAGATAATTCTAGGGCGTAGAATCGAAATTTTGACATATCAGAGCTTGTGGAAGCGAACGGACGGAGTTATACAAAGAGAAAAATCGACCATTTTCTGTAATTTGACCTACCCGTTTTGTCTTTCAAATTGATTCCACACGCTCTGTTATGTCAAAATTTCGATTCTACACCCTCAAATTACCTAGAAAAACAACTTTTGGAATAGAAATTGGTTAATATTAGCTTTTTAGAGCTTTTTTAAAACGCGAAAAAAGGTGCACTAATGGGCCAGGTGCGCAAATGGCCGGGTGCGCAAAAAAAGGTCGCATTTGTCCCACTCCCGACTTTTCTAGTATTTTGACTATCGACGAAGCGTCAATGCCAGCCAGAAACTGTAATTGTAACTGTAAAAAGAAAAGATAAACTTTCTCAATTACCGCAATCGATACTTTCAATTTACTTTTATCTTTTCTATGAGATTTTGTAAAAAAAACCAGATTTATGTTAAGTAAACTAATTTGAAACTGTTTTGAGTAAACATTCATGATTCATTTTCAAAAATATCATTAAAATTCACTTACGTGCGTCAAAAGGAATTGAAACATTTGAAATTTTGAAAGGTTTTTCAAAAAGGTTACTTTCAGAAGAAATGAATCACTATATGAATAATTTCCCAGCAAAACAGATGTCATAAAGTGATCTGATTTTGAAAATTGAACATTTTACCCTGTGAAAACTTTAGAATACCATGATTTCGATGAAAATTACTTTATTTTTGTGCTTTTTCTTTGGCGTTTCTTATTCAATCAAATGTTATACACAAGGAAACAGTGGAAATAAGGCATATAACACGGTATTTTTATCCTTGATCTAAAGGATTACTGTAGCTTCTTATAATTTGGATAATATGCTGATTATTGATGGGTTATTAGTTTAAAATAAGGTTTTAGAATAAAGTAACGTGAATTGTAGGGTAAAGCCAAAACCAACGTCAAGCCAGAAGTCTAGAAGTTCTTGGCCAAGTACACTTACTCTTAAATTAATAATTGATTGATTCGACTTGGCTTCTGAATTCTATGCAAGACTTAAAACCAAAGACTAAACCAGGGTCAGGGTCAAGTCAGCCAGACCAGGGCTAAAGCCAAAGTTAGCTAGGGCTAGGAACAGGCTAGTCATAGTTGGCGCCAGGTTTGGGCAGCTAGAAGGGCAGCCAGGTCAGGCCCAGCTAGAATTAGAATTAGAATGGGTCAAAGTCCGGTTAGAGCTGGAATCTAACTAAAGTAGGGCAGCTCTGGGCCAGGTCAGACCCGGGTCAGGCCAGAGCCATTGCTGGGACTAGACTGGGCAAGGGGAACAAGGATCAGAGTCTAGATTAGTCAAAATATCAGGGCAAGCAGGTCTGGACTATCTACTAATTGTAAGATCATCAGGTCTGGACTATCTACTAATGGTAAGATATCTTTTCAGATAATCAAAACGCAATGTCTCTGCGGTAATTCGTGTGCCAAGATTTTCTTTGAGGTTTGTTTTGGTTCAGAGCTTCTATTCAAAACTGTGAACAACATACTGATTCAACTATTTCCTACAATTTATTATCTAGTGCGCTTTGGAAATAGTTACCGTACGTTTTCTAAAATCTTCTTATTCAAACCTAAATGGCTAAGCAGTAAAAAGTGGTATCATCAAAGAACGCCAGATTACGGTAGCCTTTCTAAGGGATTTTTTAGAAAACAGTTTATAAAAGCCTTGTTAAAATACTTCTTTAGTTCTATTTTAGTCTTTCTTTCCTTTCCAGAGCAATTTTCAGGGTAATTACGTGAGAATGTGTGGCTGCAATGTGCTGATCGATAACAGCCAGTGCGATTTCTGCTCTGTAAGTGATAAGTGATAGTTTCGTTAGGCTTTTGTTTAACTTGTTAACTTCTAACTACAATTTTCAGCCTCCTAAAAACACGACAACCTGCTGCACAGAGGATCTTTGCAATGGTGATCCTCAGCAAACTACGACACCGAAAAACATTGAAAACTCTTCACTTGGAATCTTTCCATTTTTAACTATTGGATTAGCAAAACTTCTGACTTTTTGAAATAAAGCAATATTTGATAATCATAAAAAAAAGGATATTGAAGTACTTTGAAAACAGAAAAAAGCAGGTTTCAGAAAAAAATCTGTTTCTGACCTGATCCGGCTTTGATTCTTAGCCGCTCCTGACACTGAAATGCGTTGAACTGACCATGAAACTGGCCATGGAACTGGCCATGGAACTGGCCATGGACTGGCTCAAGCTTGGTCAGCTGAGGATCAGACTAGCCTAAGTCTGACTAAGTCTAGTCTGATCATGACCCTGGCACTGGCTCAAGCTTAGCTTTGTTTCTGAAGCTGACCTGGTTTCAATTCTGATTGAGATTTTGGAGGAAATCTTTCTTGGCTCTAGTCTAACCTGTGCCAATATCTTATTTCTATTCTCATCCTGATCTCATTGGGACTTAACCTGCCCATTGTTTGGTTTATTCTTTGACTTTTAAAGCCTTATCACAGTCTTAGTCCTTTCTATGAACATTTTTTGACAATTTTCAAACTATATCCAATAATTTATACTAGATGCAAAAGAAATTTCGCTCGGGATAAAATGCTTTATTTTTAGATCTGAAAAGCTTATTTGATTTTCTTTTGTCTATTGGATATTTACTTTATTTTACACTTTCGAATTCAGAGCTTTCACTGCGCCAGCAGGCGAAAGCTTTTTGTATGAGCTAAAGGAATTCGGATAAAAGATCTTAACTATATAGTCCAGACTTATCACGATCTAATTTTCACCTCTTCAAATCGATGCAAAATTCCCTTGAGAATTGCCAGTTTAAGAATGCATATTTGGTCTTTGGGTGACCAACTACTTTCAATCATAGAATCGCGAGCTCTTCGATAAGGGGATCCACAATCTGAAGCAACATTGGAGGGATTTTATAGATAACGATGGTACTCACACAGCGAAAGCTTCTTGTATTAGGTTATTCGGATATAAACAAGCGTTACTAAACTTATTGTTGTGAGGGAAGTTTTTAAAACATGTCTTTCTGTATTTAAAAGTACGTTATCTTGTGTATATTTGGAATCTTTTTAAACGGATAATTTCTTATTTTTAAGATCTTTTTTCTTGCTTTAGATAACCGACTTCAAATATATAAAGTTCGCGTCTACTTTACGACTTCAAACTGGGCAAAACAGTCGCGGAATCTCATCGAGATTTGGTCAAAGCATTTGGGAATGATGTATTGTTCGAAAGCCGATGCCGAGCCTGGTTCCAACGGAACGGTGATGAAAGTCTCGAGGATCATGAACACTCTCGTCGACCTCACGCGATAGGCAACGATATTTTGAGGGCTGCAATCGAATCCATGTCAAACGACGCGTGAACTTGCTCAACAGCTTCTATGTTCAAATTCTACCATTGATGAGCATCTCCACTCCATTGGAAAGACGATCTGATGCGGGAAATAGCTTCCTCACGAGTTAAGCAGTGCAAACGCTCGTTTATATCCGAACAACCTAATATGAAGTTAGGGGAATTGGGATGGAATGTCTTACCGCATACGCCATAAGTCCCGACTTATCACGATCTGATTTTTACCTCTTCAGATTGATGCAACATTCCCTTGCAAATTGTCAGTTTAAGAATGCGCAAGAGGCCGAGATTTGGACCGACTACTTTCACTACTTACGACTACAGAATCAAGAGTTCTTCGACAAGAGGATTCGCAATCTGAAGCAACGTTGGAGGGATATTAACGATGAAAAAAACAATCAGACCTGTTTATCCTCTGATTATAAACAGGTCTGCTTGTTTTTTGACCTGTTTGTTTGTACAAAACAAAGTATCTTAAGAAGACATTCGAAAGTCTTCTTTTGAATTCAAATTTCATTTAAATCAACCTAGAATAAGCAACATTTTTGAGAAAGTTGAGTAATTGAATAGTTGAAAAAGATTCTTTTGTTTTCTAAAAGCAAAATGTTTTAGATTATTTAGGTTTCTGACTCATAATTCGACTTTCAATTGAATGAATAGAGGTGATTATTTGAAAGAAACGAATAAATAACTTGAAAATGGATTGAAAAATTGAAAAAACATTTTCAAAAACATTTTCAGATTCGTTTTCAGCTTTAGATGAAGCTTTAGATTGTAAAAATCTTTTAGATGAAGTTACTACTTTTACTCTCTTTTTTCTTCAAAGCTTATATGTCATTGGAGTGCCTTTCAGCTGTTCAAAATACACCTGATTTGATTCCTGAAGCGGTAAATCGTAATTTTGGCTTTCTATATTTACTGATAGCGTTCTGTTCTGGGTTTTCTAAATGGCATTCTATTTTAGATCATAATCTGTCCTCCAGTTCTATTTTAGATCATAATCTGTCCTGCGGGATTATAACTGAACGCCTCTAAGTTAGAATCCCACCTAGTCAAGGCAATGATAACTTTGCTCTCTCGGTGTCGGGAGGCACTTTTATGTAGTGGTAACGCTACAGCTTATGCCCTATCAGATGGCCTTGCTCGTTGGGTGAATCCTAGCGAGTTGCCAAAGCCGGATCACTTCGGTTTCTCGAGGGCGCAAGATCACTTGCATACGACTTGGTTTTCCCTTGGTCAGCTCAATTTTCTGATTATTGAATTAGCATTCCTTATCGAAAATTGAGGAGATTGAATGAAAACTGAAGGCCAGATTACGTACTAAAATTACGACTACGGCATTCTATTTTAGATCGTAATCTGTCCTCCAGTTTTCCTTTGATCAGCTCAATTTTTGTATTATTGAATTAGCATTCCTTATCGATAGAAAACGCAGATGAGAAGAAAGTTTTCTAAAACGGTTCTTTTTTAGAAAAAAGAATTGCCAAAAGAATTACCAAAAGAATTGCCAAAAGAATTGCCAAAAGAATTGCCAAAAGAATTGCCAAAAGAATTGCCAAAAGAATTGCCAAAAGAATATTAAATCTTAATCTTAACATTCTTGAATAATAATCAAATAATAACAATCAAATTCTAGAGAATCGAGCGATGCGAATGCGGTTCTTTCTGTTTTGCTGGTCATTTTGTTGTTCAGGTAAAACTTAAATTCTAAATACAACACTTTGAAGCAAGTTTTCAGAACGATTTTCATTGGGGATGTGCGTGCAGATATGATGTGGACCTTTGCGAAGTAAGAATTGAATAGAAATCTCATAGAAGAATAGAAAACATATTAGCTTGGTAAATATGAAAGGTTATTTTTTACAAAAAGTATTGCCCTGTCGTTACGAAGAACATTCGCTGTCTAGGACTTTTCTCAATAATATGTCAAAATGTGCTCATGTTTTTTTTGCAAAAACTTTTTTGTTTTGAATAATATTTGTATTGTTTCAGCTCGGCAAAGATGGATGACCAAAAATTTAAAATCAGGGCCGGCATTTTCTTTGAATTCAAGTTAAACAAGAAAGCTACGGAATGCCATCAGAACATTTGTACTATTTTTGGAGAAGCTGCTCTTACTTACAAACAATGTTGTGTTTGGTACGATGGCTTCAAAACGGGAAACGAGTCATTGGAAGATGCACCACATGGAAAGCCGCCGATTACTTTGGACGATCAGCTGTTACTGAACGAGGTCGACTTGGATCCATCGCAAATTAGCAGAAAAGTTCGGATGCACTCATGTTACCATTTACACGTTTTCGGGAAATCATATCGAAGCGGTAAATGGCTCCCCCACGACCTCACTGATGCCCACTAAGTCACACGAGTCACCTTGAGCTCTGTTCTTCTACGTAAAGCTAGCCATCGTGACTTTTGGAAGTATTTTTTGACATCTGATGAGACTTGGCTTTTGTATGAAAATATTCAACTCTATGGACAGTGGCTGAGTTCAAAGCAGACCTCTCATCCTATCCCGAAGCCTCCGAAAAAGTTATGCTTTGTGTGTGGTGGAATCCTAAGGGATTGGCTCATTTTGAAATATTAGATAAAGGAGACACTGTTGACGGGAGACTTTATGCAGAACAAATGGGTCGAGTCGATCCAGCATTAAGGAAAAAGAGGATCGATCCATCGAAGGTCAAATTTCTTCACGACAATGCTAGGCCTCACATTTCAAAGATCGTCCAAGAACAAATCGATACGTTGAGCTGGAAACTTCTTCCACACCCACCATACAGCCATGATCTAGCCCCATCGGATTACTATCTCTTTCGGTCAATGAAACAAGCAGTTTCTGGACAGCAGTTCAAACAAAAGTAGGACATCGAAAATTGGGTTGGCAACTATTTTGCCTCTAAAAATCTTCATTTTTACGAGGACGGTATTCGTGATTTGGGGCAACGTTGGAAAGAAGTTATTAATGCTTGTGGTGAATACATTTTATTTTGAAAGTGTTTAAATAAATTTTTCTGTTATGTTAAAAATGATCAAAAAAATAACCTTTCATATTTACCAAGCTAATAGAAGAAAACATAGACAGTGTTGTTCCGCTGTTAAAAAGCACATTTTATTAGACAATTTAGCTTTTACTGTACTTCTTGGTTTGTCTAGAAAATCCAATATTATCAATGTAAATCTAGCTTTTCCAGAGCCCTGGATACTTTGACTTGGGCTACGCTGTTGGCTATTGTTGCATGGGAGATGATTGCAATCAAGGAAATGCCCTTCCACCCCAACCATCACAACCATTTCAACGAGAAAGTTCAGCTCCTACTTTCGCAATCTTCTCTTTCATCACCCTTATCTGCTACTTTTTATCTTTTCAGTGATTTTCAATTTGAGTAATTTTCAAATGCTAGTTTTATTTTGTAAATATCAATACTTTATTCATGTATGAAAAAGTGACAACGAAACATTTTTAATTGAAAAAATAACATACAATAAACTTATTGAACATTTGAACATAAGAAAAGAAAAATTGTAGAGAACTGGTTTTCCTAATAACTTAATTGCTAAATTCCTAAGTTAATTGCTTATTCCAGAAGGGGTTCTTTCTTAGTTCAGGCGGCTCATCGAAAACTCGACAATCATGAAAGCTGAAACACCGACTCCCGCTGAAAGAATGCTCAGCTTTCTGAGGTGCGGGTAAGTAGGAGAAAGCTCCGAAGCCATGCTTTGTTGATGCGTAAGAGATTGATCAGATCCCCAGTCGGTTTAACAAACTCACGGTTCATTCAATGGGGTGTCCAAACTTCTCCCATCTAGACGGCTGTCAGGCCGCGGACAGGAGACAGGAGCCGGAACCCAAAGGGAGCATAATGTAATCTGGTTACGAACACCAGAAGGCCATTCATGCTTCCTGCACGGTTGCCAGTGTGAAGCAGTGGCGGTTTTCCTAGCAGTAGCAGTACGGAGACGGATATGTGAGTAGGAACTCTAAGACTAGCGAACATCGAAGGGGCTCCATATATGTAAGAGCCCTCTGCCAGAAGGTGCGTGATTGTGTGCATGCCAAAGAACACCCATCCCCCATCAAGCTATTGTTTTTCGATAAAATAACTATTCAATTTTAAAACAATTAAATATTAAGTCCATGAAAGGTACGAAGATACAAGATAGAGTGGAAATGCAAATAATCAGATTACCTACGATTGAGAGGAAAATGGTTGGGGTATCGATTTATGTAAATTTATGTAACCTCTTAATTATCAATTTTTTTTTATTGTTGAATCTCTGTTTCCTGGATGGGCTCGATAGGAGTGATGCAAAGAGTGAACTTCTCTTCTCTAAAACTCGTTCACATTCAAAAGAATACTCCATTTTTTTTGATTGTTAGTAGTTATTGTTTATTAATGGTCAACTCGTAAACAAACTCGGGTACAAGGGTGAGGAAACACTTCATGGCTTGGTCTTCATTTTCACTTTGTCTCCTGTACTTGATCGCGATCAAAGGATTTGGCTGTGTTGGATCAGCTAACTGAAATAGTCTTATTTCAAACTCTGGTCTCGTGTTATTAATGATTTTTATCTAATAACAACTTTAAACAGAATTTTTTACCAAATTCTCCAAACAAATTCTCGTTATAATCCTGATTCAATCATTGAAGATGCTTTATCGGTTTCTGGTCGATTATGATGATACTTTATTCAGATAATAAAGTGAAACCCAATAAATCATAGAGAAATGCACATCGGATCTAAATGTAGAGACAAAAGAAAGGTACTAAGATACAAGATAGAGTGAAAATGAAAATAATAAGATTACCTACGATTGAGAGGGAAATGGTTGCGGGTATCGATTTATGTAACCTCTTAATTATCAATTTTCGATGAAGGTTATTGTTGAAAATCTGTATCCTGGGTGGGCTCGATATGTGAAGAATGAACTTTACCTCTTGCTCTTCTCTAAAACTCGTCCACATTCAAAAGAATACTCCATTTTTTTTGAACACAACTATTGTTAGTAGTTATTGTTTATTAATGGTCAACTCGCGAAAGCTGATAATTAAGCGGTTGCATAAATTTGCTTAAATCAATAGCCTTGAAAGTAGGAAATAGTTTTATCTCTGTCGTTTCGCGCTTAGATTGATCGCTGTTGTCATGTTATGTCCTCGTTTTTGTGGCAAAAGGAAAATGGCTGAGACTGTGAGCTTTCGGCGTTTTGCTTTTGAAATAAAACAAACCTTAATCTTTACAGCCTTAAACTTCCAGCACCCAAAAGCCCCATAAAACAAATTTTTCATTTTTCTTCCGTTAAAAGAATGTTTTATGAGACTTTTGGGTCCTCGGCGCTTAATCAAAACGCCGAAAGCTCACAGTCTCAGCCATTTTCCTTTTGCCACAAAAACGGGGACAATGATAACAGCGATCGATTTAAGCGCAAAGAGACAGAGATAAAGCTTATTCCTACTTTCAAGGCTAGGTATTTCAAGGTGAAGAGTTCCGAGACTTGATCAAAATGATGCTCGAGCCTGATATGATGAAAAGGCCGACAGCTGATGATTGTTTAAAGCACGAATTCTTAAGGATATTGCACGTGGGTTCCTGTAGAAAATGATGTAGATATAGTAATCAAATTTCAATTTCCAGACCAATTTCAGATTAATTTCTAATCAAATTTCAAATGAAATTTCAATTTTCAGACCAATTTCAAATCAATTTCTAATCAAATTTCAAATTTCAGATCAATTTCAGATTAATTTCTAATCACTTTCAAATCAAATTTCAAATTAAATTACAAATTTCAGATCAATTTCAGAACTATAAATTTATAGTGCTCAATAGTAAATCACTCGATAGTAAATTACATTCGATAGTGAATCACTCGATAATAAATCATTCGATAGTAAATCACGCTCAATAGTAATCACGCTCAATAGTAATCACGCTCAATAGTAATCACGCTCAATAGTAATCACGCTCAATAGTAAATCACGCTCAATAGTAATCACGCTCAATAGTAAATCACGCTCAATAGTAATCACGCTCAATAGTAAATCACGCTCGATAGTAAATCACGCTCAATAGTAATCACGCTCAATAGTAATCACGCTCAATAGTAAATCACGCTCAATAGTAATCACGCTCAATAGTAAATCACGCTCGATAGTAAATCACGCTCAATAGTAATCACGCTCAATAGTAATCACGCTCAATAGTAAATCACGCTCAATAGTAATCACGCTCAATAGTAATCACGCTCAATAGTAAATCACGCTCGATAGTAAATCACGCTCAATAGTAATCACGCTCGATAGTAAATCACGCTCAATAGTAATCACGCTCAATAGTAATCACGCTCAATAGTAAATCACGCTCGATATTAAATCACGCTCGATAGTAAATCACTTTGGGAGAATCCCTCCAATGGTAAACATGTGTATTTAACGCTCGATAGTAAATCATTGATTTTTAAGCAAAATTTTGCATTGGCGGCTGCAAAATTTACATTTTATTTACTATCCAAGCAAAATTTCAGCCGAACGATTGAAACCGAAAGCGAAAAAGAGCATTCAACAGCAAATTCAGCAAATCCATTCAAATCCATTTCATTACTTATTATTAAGAGTTTTTTAGGAAGTAAATCTCATAGTAAATCACTAACTTTTGCCAAAGTTCGCATACTTTAAAAGCTACTTTATTTACTTTAAAAAGCTTACAACTGCTTATATGCTTGCACTATTGCTTCCAATCAGATGCTATTCTAATTTTCTAGTCATTAAAAACAGTTTTGAAAAGTTGAATTCTCGCAAAGCCTAGTGTTTACTAGTGTTTAAGCATTTAAACGTCGTGTTAAAGCCACAAAATGGTATTTATCAGCTTATTCACAGCGTTTTTAATGTTTTTAGGACTGATTAGGCAAAACTCTCGATAGTAAATCATTTTTGGAGAATCTATTTTGATTTACTACTTTCGACTTCAATTGGAACCGTTTTCAATAAGATCCATTCGTTCTTGAAATACAGATTTTTAAAAATCATCATTAGAAAATCACTATTAGAGAGAATACGGTATTTTTGGTGTTTTTGGGTAACTCAAGTTTTTAAGAATTTTGTTATTGATTTCACAGAAAGTTTTCAGTAGCTTTGTTTATTTGTTTGTTTACTATGTAGTTTCCAAGAGGAGATTCAAGGCTATTGAATGACTTCAATATTTCAGTTTATCTTTGATTTTCAACAAATTATTGGCAAAACAATTAACGACTACGCGATTTTAGAGATTTTAGAGTCAAAACTTTAAAGTGATTACCGATAAATGTTTGATTTGTTTGATCATAAATCAAATTGCGAACCCAGAATGTGACCGCGGAACGTCGCCGGTTTACGAAAAGGCTAGGTGGAGAGACGCCAAAAAAAGAAGGATGTCAGATCATACGGTAAAACTTTAGAAATTACTTAGACTAAGCTGTAGTCACGGCTTTTTTTTAGGAAATCAAAGTCTTAATTGTTTCCCCATTCCGAACTTTACCCAATTGGGAACCGGAAAAAATGTTTATTTAATAGCATTATTTACTTGAAAATCTCAAAATTTCAGATCATTTGCCATAAACGAGAATCTAACGGTCAACTACGATTGCACAACAAATTTTAAAATCCCAAACAAATCCTCGTTATTGATTCGACATAATCCTGATTCAATCATTGAAGATGATTTATCGGTTTCTGGTCGATTATGATGATATTCTATTCAGATTCAGATATGCAGATGATAAAGTGATCATTCGTTTAATCATTTCGATTGTTCTTCTGACTTTCAGTGCAGCTGTAAGAAATATTATATTAGATGAAAAAACACTGTCGTTTGCCATTCATAGAGAGCAAATCATCACAAATGAGGTACATGAGATTTAACTTTTATTGCCTTTAGATCATACAGCTTTTTAGGTCACGATCATCAGCAACACTGATGGCAATGTGAATTTCTTGATCGATCTCACTCAATCATTCAAAGTGATTACCATAAATGTTTGTTGTTTGATTGTTTTTTTTTTGTTTGATGACACATCATACGGTAAAACTTCAGAAATTGCTTAGGCTAAGCTGTAGTCAACACTTTTTCCTTTAGGAAATCAAACTCTTAATAGTTTCCCCATTCTGATTGATGGAACAACTTTGCCCAATTTGGAACCGGACAAAATGTTTATTTAATAGCATTATTTCAGAAGACTCTTTTTAGCGTTAGAATTGTAGAATGAGATCCGAAGCTTTCGCCCGATACCCGAGTTGATGCGACACCAGTTCTAAAACAACAATCATTACTGAATTTTTTTTCCAGAGTTTTCCCGTTGTAGGCTCAAGTGTTCTCCGGGCAAAACGAGACAACAGAAATTGAGAAACCTTTCAGATTTCAGACACCTTATCAGTATACACCGAGAGAATAGTAAGTGATTGACAGCACATTAACGCAGATTGATGCACACAGATTGACACCGACTCCAGCCAAACGACAACACCTATTTTATTGGAAAATAAATTCCTAGATCCTAGATTCCTAGATTTTAAATTAACTCCAAATTTGCATTTCAATTTTACAACCAACCTGACAACCAATTTCTAGCTAAATCTAGCTAGAAATCTAGCTAGCTTTCTAGCTAATATCTTTGGGTTTGCAGCAGTTTATAGTTGAATATCTTTGTTTTTTTTTGGTTTTTTTGGTGATTCATTTTTGTTTGAATTTTTATTTATTTGTCTATCTTAGTCGTTTTGACAAAGGAAAGTCACCGACTTAAAGTGGCCTTTTGCAACAAGGCCATGTCCATCATATAAAATCGACCATGAGAATGAATTTCCTTTAAATTTCCTTCTGTATTTTCATACCTTAAATTGCCCATTTCATACTCATTTTCATACCTTTCATACCTTTTCATACCTACTCTTAAACATCACTCACTTTTATGTATAAAGCCGTCACATTTTTCAGGTACGCGACCCATTCAGATATCCATTTCAGATGGAGAAAATCGAGAAAAATGTAGACAAAAATTCAAATAATGTGAGTCATTCAATTCTTGTTGACCTTTAAAAGCGTGCGTATAGATTACTCCTCCATCGGTACCCGTGCAAAATGAAGATGATGGCGAAGAAGAACGTTTCATCTCTTATAACTCTCATTATCCGGTGCGTCGCATTTGAAATTACAAGTAAATTCTCAGCTCGTCAACCTTGGCATGATTCGTCTAGGGCATTCATGCCCTAGATGAAATTTTATTGGGCAAAAATTTAAAGGAAAATTCATTTGGTGGCAAGACGCCAGACTTGCCTTCAAACTTCACATAATACGGAAAATCGCTGATTGTTAGTTGTATGTTAATTTTTGATGTAGTCCCAGCTTACCAAGCTAGCAGTGGCTCTCAGCGAGCAAGTTTTCAGCAAAAGATATGACTTTGTGACTATAGAAAGTTTCAGGATTAGCCTTGATCAACCTAAACACCCAGTAACGTTCAGGATCTGCGTCAAGCAGCTCTGCCTCCGGTGGAAACGTTCAATCCACAAATCCACGTAACGAAAGGGCGCCTCAAACAAAAACAAGGTCATCGGGGCTACTCGAAGAAGAGACAAATACTGGTTAAGGAAAAAGACCTCGGTAAATGGCAAACTTGCCAGCTTTTTTCACAACTCATTTAGGCTTCAAACCACTTCGTAAGTCTTATCTTAAGTGTCTTGAGTCTCCAGACAAACTACATCTCGACTTTCGCAAAGCTTTCTCCGGAGTTTTAGAAGGGCCTGGTGAGCTGATGATATTACTTTATAATTGAAACTGTCGGCTCACGGAGACATACCGGAAAAATACTTGAATAAGACAGAATGCAAAGTATAGAGTATAGAGAAGTGTTTAGAACTCCGAATTGTTCATCATTATGTGCTTTTTGCTCTGACAAACATGAGCAAACAGGAGATTGAGATTGAGTTCGTTAAGTGGATGCTCACTGGTGCTTTTTTCTTGCAAAAAGAAGAATTGCTGAAAGAAGAAGAATTGCTGAAAGAACTAAAGAGGAAGAAAAAAATCGTGGATCCTCAAGAGAAAAAAGGCGTAAGCTTTCCTATTATAAAAAGTTACACTCGCAAAGATGAACATGTTGAAAGTGAGCACCATTTTCAGTGGTCTACTACGATCCGCGCTGGAAAAACAACACATTTCTACATTGACATTGGAAGCGATGAAGCTCAAAGAGTTCTTCATGAATATACAAAGGTAGATTGATGTTGAACTTTTGAAAATATTAAAATTTTAGAAGCCAGAAATGAATTGGTTTCCGTGGTTCGAGATTAGAGCAACCTGGAAACAAAGCCGCGATTTCATAAAACTTTTCTGGCTTCGTATGGACTTAGCCAAGGAAACCAAGGAAACCAAGGAAAAGTGAGTCGCGGAGAATCTTTCTAAAGTTATTTACAAAACCAAACCACTAAAGAGACGAATTTGCCCTTTAGCATCACCTGGAATCCGTGGTTCACCAGTGAGCGTCCCTGTCACGGTTCTCGGGAACTCAAAGAGAATGCCGATCGATACCCGGATGAGACGGTTGGACTGCTCAAATTTGCCGGTAAGTTTTATTGTCGTCATTAATTGGAATCTTTGAACGTCGAAAAAAGCTACCATAATAATTCTAATAAAAAATCCGTCACCAATAGAAGACCATGATCTTCTACCAGAATTATTACGGTATCTATTCAAAAAAGTTTAGGAATAGCTTTTGATCAAAATCTGATCGACGGCGACCTGCAAGTTCCGGGGAGGGACGACGTTTTGGTGAAACTGGAAATCATTGAACCCACAAAGAAGGGCATTCGCGCCTGGTTGAGCGATTTTAATAAAAATCCAATCAAAGTTGGTTTTGGTCAGGTTTCAGAAATGATTGTTATTTTAGAACTGGTGTCGCATCAACTCGGTTTCCGGGCGAAAGCTTCAGATCTCATTCTACAACTATAACGCTAAAAAGAGTCTTCTGGAAGAGGTAAAAAATCCTGTTTAAAGCTGTTATTAGATAAAAATTATTAATAACACGAGACCAGAGTTCGAAATAAGACTATTTCAGTTAGCTGATCCAACACAGCCAAATCCTTTGATCGCGATCAAGTACAGGAGACAAAGTGAAAATGAAGACCAAGCCATGAAGTGTTTCCTCACCCTTGTACCCGAGTTTGTTTACGAGTTGACCATTAATAAACAATAACTACTAACAATAAAAAAAAATGGAGTATTCTTTTGAATGTGAACGAGTTTTAGAGAAGAGAAGTTCACTCTTCGCATCACTCCTATCGAGCCCATCCAGGAAACAGAGATTCAACAATAACTTTCAACAATAACAATAAATTGATAATTAAGAGATTGCATAAATTTGCATAAATCGATACCCGCAACCATTTCCCTCTCAATCGTAGGTAATCTTATTATTTTCATTTTCACTCTATCTTGTATCTTAGTACCTTTCTTTTGTCTCTACATTTAGATCCGATTTGCATTTCTCTATGATTTATTGGGTTTCACTTTATTATCTGAATAAAGTATCATCATAATCGACCAGAAACCGATAAAACATCTTCAATGATTGAATGAGGATTACGTCGAATCAATAACGAGAATTTGTTTGAGATTTTAAAATTAGAATATGAATTAACTGAGAATCAATAAATGGAAATTCAATAAGATTATAAATAATCTGGTAAATTCACAAGCATAGCAACTCTTCGTACATAGCAACATAAGCATAGCAACACAAGCAACTCTTCGTACCTTTTAAAATGCTCGAAAATTCCGAATTCGGAATCGAAATCCGGTCAAAATCCGAATAACAAAATTGCAGCACTTGGCCGGGAGAGCGCTATTATTAGCCCTCCAATCTTACAAGTTAGTGTACAAAACAAATTTAAATTTTCTTAAGCGAAATTGCTTTAAGACCAACCATAAGTCGAGATATAGACAGTTCTAACGTCATGTCAAAACTCCAAAGAAGCTTACCAGTTAAAGAATTCATTAAATCTGACTAGAGAAAAGTGCAATTTGTTTTGTATACTCATTAATAAAAACATAGAGAAAAACACCCTTGAAAAGTAGTGCGCCAAAGTGCCGTTTTTCTATAGTCACAATGGCACTTTTCTATATTACTCTATAACTCGACTCCCAGATCGACTTGAGCTTGGTTTTAAAATGACCCACATTAAATTTGTTTATAAAAAAGTACAATTTATCTTGTATACTCATGTGTAAGAACATAAAGTTAGAAGAACCTGTTGTCATCTTGGGGGGAGGTTTTATGCGCTATAAACCCAGATATCAGACCTTAATACTAAGGTCTGATATATATCAGACCTGATATATGCGCTATATATTACCTTGATATCAAGGACCTTGTCAGACCAAATCGAATCAATAAAATTCAAAAATTTATAAACTTTGACGAAAGGAGATTTAATTAATACGAGATAACCTCATTTTTTATGCTTCTTTAAGTTTCAGAACAATTTGAGGTCTAGAATTTTAGGTATAAATGTTTTCGGAAAAAATCTAGAAGAAATTCTGTGAATTTAGTCTGAAAAGACCGATAAATGAAGATCTAGAGGTCGAGTCATTGTGAAGTTTCAAGAATTCTCATATTTCATAATTTTATTATAAAATATGAGCGACGAGGGCAGCCCCATTCGTCCACCTCAAACGTGCCGTCCTCTTTGCGTGTAAATTCTTCGAAGGGGTCTTCGTTGCAGATCACGACCACCTGAGTAGCCTTGCACGGCGCTTTCGCAAACTTGACGTTTAAACTAAACAAAAAATTGTATAATTAAGGCTACCAAATAAAGGCACTAACTCGGTGGGGTCGTCGCTGGCGAGTTTAAGGAAGTTCTCGAGTTGCCATAACGGTTCGCTTCGGCCCTTCTTGCTCGTTTCTCCTTCTCCTCTCGGCACAAACCGGGCGGCCTCGTCGAAAATGAGGACCTCCTCATCGCGATATGTTTGAAAAGTGCCGTGCGCCACGAGGCAATATGATACTTGCGCTCCTAAAAGCAAGGCATATATTTCAGCATGTAATTAAGGCAAATAAATTCAATTAAGTCATATAAATAAGGCAGAAGATCAAAAGACCAACCCGTTGACATGCAGAATTTTGCGAAGGTCGTTTTCCCACTGCTTTTCGTGCCGTGGATGAGCCAGAAATTGCGTCCAATCTCCTCAAAAGCGTGCTTGTAGTGGTTTGCGATGCGCATGAGGGCGTGTCGGGGTTGGTCCCATATCTGTAATTAAGGCAGTGTAATTGAGTGTAAGGTCTGTAAAGGGATACCTTTGGCGCAATCATTTCGACTTGATGGGCAGTGAAGCCTTCTTTCAGCAGCTCTTCGCACTTCTGATACGAGCCACCGCGTGCTAAAAAAGACGTGCTCGATTCCTAAATACTCAACAATTAAGGCCGACCATAAAGTCATTTAACCATATGAACGCCATTGTGATGTGTTTTCTTGCGCACTTGTCGACGGCAGCGTCATTGACTTTTGTTCTCCTTTCGTCGGACTATAAAACCCCTTTTTTATCAGCCTTTATCCCGGGTTTTGGGCCCTAAGACGGGCCCTCAAAAAAGTTTTTTTTTTATATATAACGCGCTTACCACCGGAGGTTGCGCCGGCCTAGAACCCCCTATCTGGGAGCGGCAAAAATGGGCGGGTGGGCCAAAGGCCCGGCGGGGCCTTGGCCTTCGCCGGGCTGATAGAAACCCCTAATCTATCAGCCTTTATCCCACTCGTATAAAGGCTGATAAAAAGCCCTAATCTATAGTTATCTATAGTTAATTGTTTGGGGTAACATTTTTCGGATTGGCCTTGTCTTGGCTGTAACGGGTCTCCTTGACGTGTTGACTCTTTTCGAGGTGCAGAAGTCATTGATGGAGCCCGTCTTTGGCCCGTGTCGTGTCGGCTGTGTCAACGCAACGCGTCCAAGAGATCAGTCATTGGCATTCCACGATTTCTGCAGGCCACATCAGTCAAATCAACAGCCCGTACCTAGAAAACGAAAATTAAGGCATATACCGTATTTTCTCTAATAGTAGTGCACCCCGCTGATGACTATTTTACGGTTTCCAAGTTTTCGCAAAAGCTCAACACTCTAATCCCCCGCTAGATCTGATCGTCAGCTACATTTTCCGACCCCACATCGATAAGTTCTGATAAGCGCTTTTCGAGATTTACAGGAATTTAAGTAAGGCTCAGGGTGCACTACTATTAGAGAGAATACGGTAATTAAGGCGTACAATAAAGGCAAAATACCTCCATATCCATGATTGAGTCACCTCCGTTGGTGTTCGCCTCGAGTTGACCGGCTCTGTAGACTCTTGCATCCAAATTCTGATCGTCTGTCTCCAACTGATGCCCCCTCATGATTGAGCGTTGTTGCTTGCCAAGCTGTTCCGTCATCTCTGGAAAAGGTAAAAATTAAGGCGAAACATGTAGTGAGGCACTATTAAAATTTCGCCTTTATTGCTCTCCTAAAAACCGCCCTTATTCTCATCACTTTCCTGCATCTTTCCCTCTCCACACAAAACTAATCGGAACGAAAAAAAAAGTGATGAGAATAAAGGCGGTTTTTAGGAGTGCAATACAGGCGAAACTAAAAAAAAGAAGAGAAAAAACGAATTCAGGCACATGGAGGGACACAAAGACAACGTGAGGGGTAAAAACACAAAATGCAAAAAGCGAAAAGAAATCAGATTCTTGTACATTGACATTTGAAAGGTATCGACCGGATTTTCCTAATCAAAATCAAAATGAGGTGCACCAGATCGAGTGCGATTGTGGGGGACAGCCTTAATTGCTAAGTTCGCACCCCATTTTTTTCGGGGGGCGGGGGCGGGCGGGGAGGGGGGCGTATGAATCGCGGCCGGGTGACCATAAAAATTTTTTTACGGCAACCACTTGTTTTTTATTTTAATATCTCTGATTTTATTATAAAAAGAATAAAAATCACCCGGCTAGAGTGAGTTGATGGGTTTGAGAAAAGTACCGTAGTCAAACCGTTAGTTTACATTCGATCAGCAGGATTTTGGTATCAAACCCATCAAATCACTCTAGCCGGGTGATTTTTATGCTTTTTATAATAGAATCAGCGATATTAAAATAAAAAACAATTGGTTGCCGTAAAAATTTTTATGGTTCGGCCGCGACTAATACCCCCCCTCGTTTTATACGTCTACACAGATTTGATACTCCCTTACACAGTTTTAATACTCTGATGATGCCGAAAACGATGATCTGTTTAAAGAGTTGGTGCTGGCTGAGAAAAATCGTGTTACTGCAAGTAAGATAATGGTGGGCAACTTTGCTGTATCCAGACATGATCAAACTGTGTCATTTCGTGAGGCGTAGTACTCAATGAAGCCATCTTTTTTGAGTACTTTCATCCCAACGATAAAATCCTGTTAAGGTTAACAAAAATAAACGAGGATTTTCAAATGCTAGAAGCATTGAAACGAGAGCAGGTAGTCCAATCAAAACCTTTATTGCCAAAGTGAGTGGTATTCCTAAACATTGTTGTTGTTTCTAAAAACATGAATTGTTTCCAAAAATTAGCTGTTTTTTGATGATTTGATACAAATATTAGGTTCCAGAGAAAGTTCCCGCCGATTTCTTGGAAGAGGGTCTTAAACTTATCCCATTTGATTGTGTAATAGCTCAATTGAAAGCTAATTATCCAGCGAATTGTATGGAAAAGGCCATTTTTCGATTTTCTTTTTCGAACTTTCAAAGTTTTTGCAGCCTTTTTACTGAGATGCTTCTGGCTCCAAATTTCAAAAAAGATGGACTTTATTTGTTTTTTGTATAGAAACCTGTGCTGAAACCATGTTTTTCGAATCAGCGTTAAAATTACCCTAGAATTCAATAAAATTGTTTTTTAGTAAGAATTTTTAAAAAAACTAACTTTGCCAAAATCGAACCTCAACCCTCGGATCAGCTTTGTTTTTTCGAGGTTTTCTTCATGAAATGATATTTATATTTTTTTTAAAAATTTATTTAAAAACGAAGGCGGATGAATGAGGGATAGCAGACTCAATATATTTACAGACTCAAAAAAAAGTGAACCCAAACAAAGAGTATACAAAAGAGTATACAAAACAATGTGGAACCATGTGGAACCGGTTGACATATGTTGATATAAAAACAAAGTGAAATCACTTTAGCCAACTGTCTCGATTAGTGGGAACGATTCAAATCATCCTTCAACGGTAAATATTTGAGTTAAAACGGTAAATATTTGAGTACATGATTTACCAGTTATTAATTTAGATAATCAAGATACCAGCGGACGAGACGG